AAATGACCGACCAACCGACCGACGATAGTTTTCTACATTTTGTGTTTAATTCTCACACGTATCACTATCGTCATGGGCTGTTGAATGTGTGCATATGTGCACAGCAATTGCATTCTCTCTCTCTCTCTCTCTCTCTCTCTCTCTTCACGCTCAAAATCAAAGCTTATTTAGCCATTTAAAGGAAGTGCTGCGCAAATAAAACTTCCATCCGGCTCACTTAGCTTCAACGAACGAAGAAAGTAAAGGGTTGTCTGCACAGCCAAGCATCAAGGTGGATATGTTTCGTATCACGTACACACAGAGACACATACACACACCTACCTTCCCACCCGAACCAAGCAAACACATAAAATATTGTACAACATGTTCATATGCATATTATTATACGTTCATTTGTAGACATCGAGAGCAGCGACTGAGGAAGAGAGAGAGAGAGAGAGAGAGAGAGTAAAGGAGAACGTAGCGATCTATTTAAAGTCGTAACTACTTCAACGCATAATTTATGAGTTGAATTATTATGCAGAATGTAAATTATTATTTTACGAATTTTAAAGATTTCATAATTTGCACACATAAAATATGAGGCTGTGTGAAGTTCGTCGGAAATCACTATTTAGCAATTAAATACGCCGAATACGAGCTAAACATTCACACAACTCCGACGGCACACAAACTTCTCTCTCTCTCTCTGTAAATGTGTAATTTGTTGAAGTAAATTATAGGGTGGGTGGGCGGTTGTATGGTGGTTGATGAAGAAAAATCGTGTAATGAAAACGACGAAACCAAGCTTCGTCAGCTGGAACATTTTGAACTGGAAACCCCATTTCATCCAAAACTCGGTACGATCATACTCATTTATAGAACACTCGGAACATTCGACACAAAAACCATTTTCACGACAACACACACAGTTTTTCTGGGCTATAGCTATGTATGCATAGAGTGGAAAACCATTGCTCATTGGCATTTAATCGATCTAATGTTCTGAATACATACGCATTTCACTCTTGGCATCTCACTCTCTTGTTCCGTTCGGATCAAACGAAAGACATTCAATTAATTAACATCAATATTGGTTCATTCAATTTTCGCAACACAATTCGAGGAATTTGCTGTGTAAAAATTGGCAGTGCAAGGGGAGGAAAGAAACGGATCTATGCAAGTGTTAGCCATCGAATGGCCGGAACCAACAGTTGGAATAATACATGAACGGTTTGTCGAGCATAGAATAAACTATTTTCGGTCACTTAAAACGGATATAAAATCGTGGTTTCGACACACAAGTTTCGGGGAAAATCCAAACAAATTGAATTAAAAATTTAAAGTTAAAATATCTCAGGATTTTATCTGCTTTTGACGCATCATTCGCATGCAGTACACAGTAAAAAATTTATTATACATGTAATAATTATTCGTATACTGCGTTTCTATTGACATTTTTTTCTTCTTCTCTCTCTCCACATTTTTGTTTTGGAATAAATAAGTACACGAATTTTCGAGCCGTTTTCAATATGAGCCGTTAATATATATATATGTGTGTGTGTGTAAGTGTGTGTCGTAATAGTCGATGCAATATCTATTTATCTGATCTGTTATACATCGATATGTCGAGAATTAATGGAAGAATGCGGGCAGTTAGTATGTTCCATGTTATAACTTATAATGTCCAAAGTAATTTGAAATTCCTGCGGAAGTTGATTTATGATCAATTTTGAAGATTGGTTCAAGTACTTTTGTCTTCCTCCATCTCCCTCCACTCACTGTCTCTCTGTCTCCGCTTCTATCGTCCGTGACCAATGTGCGCCATACATAAAGAAGCCAGACCTTCTATGGGAGGGAGAAAGGCCAATCGGTCTGACATGGAAATTGACATGATAATAATTGAACTCATAACAATAAAGCACTTTTTTTTTCACTCAAAAACTTTTTGGGCTGGTAATTTTTCGGCATTTTTCGTTGTTGCTGCTACTGCTGTTGTGGCTTTATGATGTGTTTCGGCTTATGTTTCGTTATTTTGCTATTTACCGATGATGATACATTGCAACATTATCAACTTTTCTAATGTATATCTAATATCGCTTGAAATTAGGCACCAGCCATTCTTTGTATTGTGTCGGACTACGTTCAATGAAGATAGATGGGTACATCGGTGGGAATGCGATACGTCAAATCAGTATAAGCTACTTTAATGTAAATGCGTGTGTTCGATAAGCTTATCAGTTAAAAGGGCATATGATAAGATGGCAAATATCAATACCGTGATAGGATGAATCGTGCATGAATGAACAATGGTTGTTCACCAAAACAGTATTGATGAAACGATAAAAAAAACCGAGCAAGTCTGCAAGCGAGCACACGCAGAGAACACAGCGCACATAAACACACAATGTCCATCCGTCCAGCCTACAGATTTCCTTAGATTTCTTGTGTGCTTAGAATGTCATCTATTTTTCTTTTGGCTTCTCCTTCCTTGAAATGGTCTATTCATCGTGTCTCTGAAAAAAAAAATTAATAGACTTTCTTGTGTCCGTATACGTGGTTAAAGATACGCGAGGTCATTGGGATGAGTCGTATTTCATACGCATTCATTTTTGTTGTTGTCATCGTCTTTTCTCTTTGCTTTCAACCTTTTTCATTCCTTCTCTCGGCAAAATACTGCACACCAAAATCAGTGTGAAGAAGACTCAACTCATGCCACACGTGTGTGTATAGTAACGAAAAATAGATAGAAAAAGCGAAAACGGTATGTGGAATTGCTTTGAATTGAACAGCAACGGATAGTTTCCATATGGGGGAAAGGCATTTTTCAAGCTCAGTTCACACAGTGTTCCGACGAAATAGTTGTGCTGAAGCGAAACGAACATGGTAGCATCAGAATCAAATCGAATCGCATGCATACACATACACACATACACACATACACACACACCCAATGTACAGCACAGACACCAAGAATATAGCCAAGCAATATGTTATTTTGTGTTCGGTCGCTTTGCATCTTATCGTCGTCGCATTGCTCAGCGTATTAGTTGTGATAGATTTGTTTCAATATTTGGTCCATTGTTCGATATACCCAAAGCACATCACCTCCACCTCCATCGCAATGCTCCCATTCGTGCTCTCTCTCTCTCTCTCTCTCTATCTCTCTCTCTCTCTCTCTCTCTCTCGGTTCAATACGAAAAATCACATAGCCATGCTTGCGGCGAACCAATTGCGGGTGATGTGGATGTGGCTTTACATTCAACCATGGTGTTTTACATGTATGGATTTCGGTCGATAATTTTATTACTGTTCAGTTTTTCGCTCTTTCGCTCTTCGTCTCTGTCGCATTAGTTTATTTTATTTCATTTCATTTTTTTCGCTTTCTACATCTCTTTCTTTCCCTGTGTTTTTCTTTTCTACGTTCAACACTTGAAATCGAATGCATCGATAGCGATAAACCTCTTGAGCGAACTTTTCCACTTTTCTTGATTTCGTTAGCAAATGCGTTGGTTCTTCTGTGGCGAAATGCAAATGCCGCAAATAACACATTTATCGACATTCGAATCATATTTCTCGAGGATATATTTTGACCAAGTGTTGAAAGTTGACACAGCCATTGAACCGCACACTACTGCTGCAATATGCTATGTGTTATAAATGCTAGTATACTCACATATGCAATCCACATGCCAATTCCTTACTCACTTCAACAGAAAAACACACACAAAGAGAGAGAGAGAGAGACAGAGACTCGCACACCAAACCCAAAACCTTATAACTTAAAACAGTGAAAAAGCAAGATAAATTATGCGTGAAATCATAAATAAAATAAGAGAGCAGCAAAAAAGGCAAAAACTTCTTTGACTTAAATGAGATGAGAGAGAGAGAGAGAGAGAGTGGATGGAAAAAAATGAAAAAAAGGAAAACTACTACACAGAGCAGCATCTATCACAGCCATTTGTTCCACCTCAAATGCATACACGCAATTCTATGTTTAATTTTTTTGCTGCTCTCTTTCTCTCTATCTCTCCCTCTTTTATCTTCGCCGTGCTCGTCTACTTAAAATGACAGAGAGATAAAAAAAATGTGATGAACATTTTTAAATGAAAAATAAAACCTCAAAACGGGAAATAGAAGTAACGTTCGCTAACAGCGCGCGCTTGAGTTAGATAAGTTTGTATTGTACAACTTAAAATTGTTGATGTGTGCCCAATTCCACTTTTCTAAATGAAAAAATCCAGTGAAAAAAATATTGTGTGTGTTTTTGCTTTTAATTTTTTTTTCCTCTCCCAACCGAGCCATTCTTGATCACTACTGCTGCTGCTGCTGCTGATGCTCTTGCTGTCATCGTTCGTTCCTTTTTTTCAATTCGCAGTATTTGTAGCGCTTAGAAATATATGAAACTTTTGTTCGTGTCCATTCATCATTTCAAAAATACTGTAATAACTGACCGTTTGGATTGTTGACTCGTCCTTCCTTTTTCGTTTGGTTGCGTTTTCGAGGGAAGCGCGAGAACGCGCGTTTGCAAAATGCAAAAAGCGAAACGTAATGACATTTGTGCTTAATTCCAACCCCAAAGCTAGAAAGTCATGAATCAAATCATTTTAAAATCCGTTGCACAAAACGAAATCATAATAATTGAATGACTTTTGTCCTCGAGTGAATGAACAAAAATGTGCATTTGCGTTCAAATTCATCGAACAATAGCGTAAGCGCGGTTGTGTATGTGTGTGTGTGTGTGTGTGTGTGTACGCGATCCTTCGCACTTACCATATAGATATATAGAGCATTCCGTTGTTGGGACGAAAGCTTTTCCACATCCAAACGACCGATTGCAAGCATACCGAAAAAAAACGCATACAAAAGACGGGAAATAATGGCAAATAAAACTAAAACTAATACTAACTCAAATCATTATAATAGGCTGTGATTCTACATGATTCGATGATGTTGATGTTGATGATGATGATGATGGCACGGATGATGTGACCAATAAATAAAAACAACAACGTTTCGCATCATTTATATAGAAATTCATCGTATATTTTATCATTTTACATCATGTTACTTTTATGTATGTGTACTTGTTCGCTGTTGATACGAGAATAAATTCTGTGTGTTTTTTAGTTTGATTTAATGTTTTTTGATTTCTCTGGTTGTTTGTTTTTCTCTTCTCCATCTTCATTTTGTTTGTTCAATTTATTTTTTATCTATCCGTTTCGTTTAAATAGTAAGTTGTGACAATAAAATGTTCATTGTTACGAGAACAGTTAATAAAACGTAGTTCTTTTTTTAAAATTCTTCTTCTTCTTCTTTTCTGGTTGTTAAAGTTCCCTTTAAAATCAATGCGAGGTCATGATAATGACATCGGGAGCTGAATTTCGAATTTCTAGCATTAGTTGTGATTGTTCCATTTTAACAGCATTTTTCTTGGGACCACTGCCGAACGTACGCAATGGATTGGATGATGTTGTTGTTGTTGTCGCCGATGATGGGGCTGGCGATGGCGTTTCATATTTGCTTGGATGTTCATAGGTGTAGACGACACCGACACCCGGAGACGTTGATTTTGGCGTAATCGATGCATCTCGTCGATCGTAAGTTGATTGCATTGGTATTTCTTGTGCACCGACGACGACGTCATCGTCAAGTGGATTATAGCCGAAAGTGGAAAATTTATATGTACCAGGTGCTTGTGTATTTGATGGCGGCAATTTAGTGCTGCTGCTAATTCCACTCGCAAATAGTGATTCTCTGCAATTTCAATAAATACGAAATACATTTGGCAAGATATTAGATTCGATGGCATAGGCAAAACGGTTCATTGAAATGGGCAAAAAAGAGTGAGACAGATATGGAGATGCACATGTGCAATCGGAAAATGCCATGGATAGAATATTAGTGTGTATAGGTATGGGTATGTGTGAGAGAAAGCATGCAATGGGATAGTGAGAAGGAATGTGTAATAGACAGGGCAATTGGGCGACCGAGACAGAAGCAGAATGGGCAAAGAGAGTGATATAGATATTGTTCACGTAAAATAGAAAGTATATACACATATATATGTATGAAATATGAGCGGTTGGTTCTATAAACGGTGCGGTCCATGAAGATGAATCTTGTCGTCGTCGTTATATTGCACGGAGCAAGAAAAAGTTACTGTTATTAAGTCATATTTTAGTTTGGCCTTAGCAGCATTTGCATCAATAAATTGCATTCTAATTACTCAATTGAAATTGAATTCAATAAGCTGGCATTTATACTGACTCTCCCTCTCTCTCATTCTGTGTGTCTATCGCTCCAGTTTTTGCACGTCGCCGTCATGCAGACGGTTGAATAATATTGTCAATATTGTGTGCAATGTTAATTTAATTACGCCATTTATTGTTCTTATTTAAAGCAATTCACCTGGCTCGGTGTGCTATGCAAAAGCCAAATGTGATTTGGATGGAAAGTGTGTGTAAGTACCGAGGTGGAGGTGCAAGTGCATGGAATTTTCAATAGTTCTTCGATACGTGTTCGATGCATGAGGAATGATGGGGATAGTGGCGCAGGCGGGCGGGCAGACGGGTGCTCAGTCAGTATGGGAAAGAATGAGATGAAACACACCCGTGCTATAGAGAGTCTATTTTTTATAAGAACATACCTCGTTTGACATGCCATGTCACATACACCTTCATTTACATATTGTTCAGCGTGTTCGTTATTGTTGAATGCCTCAGGTGGTGGATTTCGTAAAATTTTCTTTAGCTGCGGAATCCAGGGAGGAATTTTGTGCGATGCGAAAAGAAAATGAAAATGTTATTCTCATTGTTATGGTTATGTATTGAGCGCAATTGTCATTCGCACTTTAACCACCCCCCACACAACGTAAATTACACAAAAAACAACCAGCCTCTCCCTCCCTTCACCTCTCACTATTGCAAAATTCATCGAAAGCGAAGCGAATGAATGAATGACTTTACATTTAACTTATCGGAAAATCGTCTGGTGTGAAAATGCTCATTCTGATTTTCATGGTGATGCGCTGATCTCTTTCGCTTGCACCGTATCAAAGTGTGCAAAACTTAAAAATTGGATTATTGGAGTCTCGATGCATTTCAAGAGTGTATGTGTATGTGTGAGTGTGGTGTGCATAAAGCGATTATGCACAGACTGGCACAGTCACATCATTCACTTGAGTCACTTCATTTAGACGATTCACTTGATGCTTATGCATTGTGAGTAATGAAAATTGCAACAACCACACATAAAAAATAAGCATAGAGAGAAAAAGAAACCGTTGAAATTTACCTCATCCCTATAATTATATTGGTTTTTATTAATCCTATTTACACTATCTGATATTGACGATGCCGATGTGGCTTCCCGAAATATATGGCCTGCATCCTCGTCTTGTATTTGTTTTAGTCTTGGCTCTATTGCATAGCCCGTAGCACTGTTTATGTATGTGTTGTTGAGCGTTGACGATAATGGCGATGAAAAAAAGAGACGTAGAGAGAAAAGAGCAGGAAAAACATGGGTGAACGAGAGAAAAAAAAACGTGTAGAAGTGAAACGAGTCGGCAAGCGTTAACACCAATTGAAAAATTGAATTGGTCGTTTCGATGCGATGTGCTAACGGATCAAAGTGGCACTCGCACCGAGGACCACTGTATATAAATCATGCAAAGCTGAAGAGATACACTTAAACTTACCCAGGAATTATTCGATTTACATTCTCTAGAGACCGTTTTATGGACATGCGACCTGCTTCATCCAGCTTGCTCTCTTTTGATTGTCGAATGGTTTCCTGAAAATGCACATTGAACACAGCCGTGTAACAAACAATCAACGTGGTGTTTGTATACAAGTGTGTCCATGTGAATGGTGGAGTGTTCCACACACACACACACACACACACACACATTTCAACGACAACACAATTGCTTACTCTAATAATTTTCTGATCTCGAATTAGCGTTCGGATACAGTTGAACAGAAATACCGATGTCATGGCACCAAGTAGTGCACTAAATACCGCTATTATGACCCACAAATCTTTGGTATCACCTTCGGTCTCCTACGTAGAGAGATAGAAAGAGTGAAAAATGGATTAGTAAATCCAAACCGAATTGCTTAAAATAGATTGTCGGCGTAATCCGGGTGTTGTGTGCGCACTTTGTGATGATTGCAAGACACAAACTCACACGCACATCACAACAAATCGAAAAAGAATGATGAAAGAAAAAAACCAAAATTCAATACGCACACCGCACTGCATCTCGTCCTTTCGAAATTTACAGTTTGCACGCTGGTTGCATTTTAAGGATAAATCGATGCATGTTTCGTCATCGCAATCGAACTCATTCTCTCCGCACTCTAGCGTTGTATTTTTTCCATCGGTCGGTTTCTTTTTTGTGAATGCGGTGTAGAAAAACGAGAACTTGGAATTGATTCCCATTTTTGTGACGAAAAATCGAACGTACAAAATATTCGATTTGGACTCGAACGCTTCGGCAACCACCCCGCAAAAGTGTTTTTTCCTAATGAACATGAAAATTGTGAGCGAAAAAGAGAGAAAGAAAGAGAGCGAGAAGAAAAAAATACAAAAATACAGAGAAAGAAAAACAGACGGAAAATGTTAGAGCTTCTTGTGTAGCAAACCAAGCAGGCACTTTTAATAAACCAAACACAATTGAATTTGATTGCATCGCAACGATTGCTGCTCTGCGCTGTGCCCCGAAAAATTACACCAAGAAATTTGTTACTCACGGTTCCGATAACTTTGTATCACTTCCGATAATATCAACAAAATTACTATCGCAATCGTTTTTCTTGTCCAAATCGAACTTATCAACCGATAGCATGATCTATGAAAATGAAATGGGAAACGACGACCACCACGATGACGATGACGATGACGATGACGATGACGACGACGACGAGAAAGAGAAGAGAAGAGAAAAAAAATAGTATTAAAAGAGAAGTACATTGAAAATAAAACATAACGAATTGGACACATTGCAAATGAAAAAGAAAAAAAAGAATAAAACGACTTGTGATTATTTGATTGGATGGTATGTGGTTATCGAACGGAATCGCTCCGCTTCGACTAGAAATGAAAATGCTTGTGGAGTTGCAAAAGCAAGACGCACAAACACAAATAAAACCAAACCAAATTAAATTGTACAGTAAAAGGAACAACCCGCACCTGCCAATCTGGTCTCACTTCGATCTTCCATAAACAATCGAGTGGAATTGCCGATTCGTTGACTTTCCTAATAAACGTTTCGTTTATATCCTGATTCCCTATTCTGCCTTCGATTTGATTATCTGTATTGAAAAAACACTCCTCAATTGCCTCTGTGTTTTAGTTCAGCGCCATTGTTGAAATTAGAAAGAGAGAGATCGAGAAATGTAAAGAAAATGAGCAAAAGTACAAATTATATGTGCCGTTCGCTTGCTTGCTGCTCTCGTTTTATATTTGCTGTTTTTTTTGTGCAATGCCATTATAATTTCCGCAACGGAATAATTTTACTATATATAGCGTGACTTTACCTGTTTTCGAGGAACGCGGCATCTCCTCATACACACCCTCGAAACCATCGTATTCAATGTTATCATCCGAATGGAAACGCAACCACAAATATCTATCACTTGAGAATATTTCATCTGGAAACTTATTGCCGCAGTATTTTCCTTTCAGATTTGAGAATCCATATTGACCGTCCCGGATCTGTTTCGTGTGGAAATGATAATTTTGCTTGGAGTTTGTGTATGCGATAAAGACACGACTGCTCAATAATATGCCTTTTATCGACGGTAAAAATCGGGTGCCGTAGCAGGTGCCCGATTTTTACCCGATCAAAAATGAATTGAAAATGAAGATTGAAAATGTTGGTTATTTTCTTTTTCTACTTCATCTACTTCATCTACTTCTTCTTAGTTACCTCTAAATAATCGTATTCGCATGTTGCTGACGGCTCGATGTAGAATCTATTGCGAAAATCGAGCTTTATAACAAAGCCTGGGTCTACTGTTGGAAGGCAAATAACCAGAGAGAAAAACGTGTTAATTTGTGAAAGAAATAGAAAAAATGAAGAAAAAAAAATGTGCACAAAAGAAGGAGGAAAAAATGGTAGAGGATAATGTGCACAAAAGTGAATGTGTTGTGTTTTTTCCCTCTTCTTCACTTTGTATTCTTCTCAACCAGAAATACCGATGCAAGCATTCTCTCTAGTTGGTCCATTTTTTTTAATCCAATCAAAGGAAAAAAAGATTTGAAGCATTCGAGTGAAATACGACTCGATCGCTTTCTTGGAAGCTTCCTTAAAATTAAATATACATTGGTGCAAGAGTAACCTCGTACAATAAATAGAGCCACACACAAATACAAATACAAATACACATATACATACAATACCAACCTGTTATTTTTAATATACAATCAACTTTGGGTGGATAAGTATCGCTTAACATAGTTGTATCGATTGGGCTGAAGAATGTTTTATTCTCCATAGGAGTTGAAAACCGTGCGCAAATCGTTTCTGATGATTCAGAAAGTTCTCCCTGTGAACGTTTACTTCGTAGCTTATTTCCTAAGGTGATGGATGTTTGTGAAGCTGTCGTTCAACAAGTACGTGTTAGCGCCAACGAGAACAAGGACGGTGACGACGACGACGATGGAAACGGAGACGATGATGGTGGTGGAATGGGAAGACATAGAGAGACAAGGTGAAAAGGAACATCGAATGGAGAGATGATGATGGGAGAAAAAAAAGGATGCGGCAGGATAAAAGAAAATCAAAATTCGATTTAGTACTCTTATTTCCTTTGTAACTAAATAAAAAAAAGTATTTATATTTTTATCGCTTTTTCTCTGTGCCACTCTGCGTGTGTGTATGTTTGTGCAGTCAGATTCGAGCTTTTATTGATGTGCATCAATTGGATTTTGATTTGCGATGAAATCAAACTAAAAGGTATCCAACTGTACAGCACACATACACAAACATATCTATCGGCAAGTTTTCTTCCTCTTTGTGCCCGAAGAAATGAATTTTTCATGTATAAAAAGAGATTCGAATGAAGAATGGTGAATGTGAATCAAGTTCACTCATTGGAGAAACACTCACATGCATGCACAATTGTTGATCCGGCTAAAAGAAATGTGAGCAGAAAGCCCGGTTTCATTGTGTAATTTGAGGCGATATTCAACCGTTTCCACACCAATCACAATCGTACACAATGCGGCCACCTCGTATGTAGCCGCTGTAATCCGTTCACTTTGTTGGCAAACCCGTTGAATCGAAGCAGCACGAGCACCAGCAGCAGCAACGGATTCAAGGAATCAGCTAATCGCTGGAACACCGATAACGATGACGACGAACACCACCAACACCACCACGTTGGTGCAGAAAATGATGCAGTGGCAAACAGCAGCAAAAGCAGATCAACACACTGCCGCCAATCCATTCAAAATCCAATTTGTCAATTTTGCTATTTACTTGTTAGCCCAACTAAAGATCAATTGATTAAAATTCACGCGCAACAATTTATCATTCGGCTGTAACATTTTGCTCCAATGTAATTGAAACATGTGAACAACGAATTTCGCTGCCTTAAATGTGATTAATTGAATGCCGAAGAGGATGCTCATCTGAAAATACAGACACAAAACACATACGCGGAGCGAAAATGAAATGTAAAGAATATATAGCAATCAGTGCAGTTCGACAGCTGGTTACACAAACAAGCAGTTCATTCATGAAATATAGATTCTGGCATACGCTTTGACGTGGCAAGAATGTTTCGTCAAACGAACAGAGAGAAAAAAAGACAAACGAAAAAAAAACAAAAAAATGCGAGGTAAAATGAAAGATCGGAAACGATATTTCAAACAAGAACAAAAAAACAAAAACTCACAAAAGAATTAGGAAAAGTAAAACTTTCGCATACTAAGCAGTGAAACGAGAGTAGAGCAACGACAACAAATCGTTTCGTTCATGGTGGCGCAAGAGCTAAACTTCAGTTGACTTGGCGAGTAAAATTAGAAAAAAAAACAACACCAAGGAATAAAAAAAGACACACTGAAAAGTGGCGCGCTCGCTCGCTTGCTCGCAGCGATTTTATTTTTCCTTCTCATTTCGTCGAATTCAAGTACATTATTGCTTTCATTTCATCACTTGACATTTTTATTTGAAGGTTAATTCCCTTTTTTACGCAATTTCTCATGCTCTCGAGAGTGAAAAGAAGAAAGATGGCATTTTTCTGTCGTTCTGTTGTGTTTTTCGTGTGTAAACTCGTTCATTGCGCGTTCAAAAATTTATGAATGTAATGTAATCCAATTTACGATTTTGCCTTTCGAGCCCAATGATGTGTAGCCGCCACGTTTTCGCATTAGCATTGCGTAATTTTGAATGTGTCGCTACACTTGAATGCGAAAAGTGTTTGATACCTTCCTTCTTCTTGCCATTTATTCTATTTTTTTTCACACGCAAAAATAACAGCAACACTTACAATAATCATCAATCGGCACAGTGTTTGAAATTCGTTCATTTTCATTTCATTTATTTCGTGCCGTTTCGAAAAACCACTTCGATTTAAATCGTCGAAGTGATAGAATAAACATAGTTAAGAGTGCGCGCCAAACGAAAAGGTTTAATGGATATTTGGAATGAATATTGAGTTTTTCCGTCGGCCTTGATACTTCACGCAACAACAAGACAACCGAGAGAGAGAGAGAGAGAGAGAGAGAGAGAGAGAGAGAGAGAGAGAAATGAATCAGCGGCGTTCGAAATGCGAATCGTTAAAACACAATATTTGCTACAGTAAGCGATCAGAGACAGAGAGAAACGAAGAGCCGAATGACTCGTCCTCAGGAATTTCACTTGATTATTAAGCAGGGCTGTCGGGGCCTCCGAATGTCAATGGAGCAATGCTCTCTCTTGTTCTTGTCTCTATTTTGTCAGCCTCTCACACGCTCGCCGAGTGTATGTGTGCGTATTATATTGAATGGCAATGATTCGAAATTTGTTTACGGTTTTGATGCCTTTTCCGACCGATTGTCTTTTGGCAGAAATTGGCCACGATCCGTTTCGATGTGTGCTGAATGAGTGAGAGAGAGAGAGAGAAAGAGAGAGAGAGAGAGAGAGAGAGAAAGAGAAAGACTGTGTATTTGCTTTGTGCTCTCTCTATCTCTCTAGTGCTCGCTATATTGCTAGACAGCATAAAAAAGCGCACATATTCGACTTTTAATATTATATCGTCAACAGTAAAAACCATAATGCAATTACTTAGCGTGTTTTATAGAGAGACAGTACGAGAGACACATTGTGCTCTGAGGAAAATATCAATGAAAATACTTTCTCGCCATTTCGCCGAGATTGTTTCTTTTCTTCATTTTATAATGCTATTCATTAGATTGCTTGCTGTGTGATGGCCTGGTTTTTGGTTTCAGCTTTTAAATTTTTGAACAAACACACACACTTGAACACGCTCGCACAGGGACACATACACACACACGCACGCACGCACACATCCAGTCAGCCACCATCGAAATAATGCCGGAGATGATGTGCGGCTGTTTGTTTCAGTTTAAACGAACATAAGTTCGTTATCTATATTGTAGAGGTTTTTCTCTTGATAAGCAGCGCACAAAGTAATAATAATGACGAAATAAAGTTGAAGTACATAGAGTTTTTGCTCCCTAACATAATGAAAGCTTTCATTCTTCTATTACATTTTTTCTTCATCTTCGTTGCTTTCGCTCTATCTCTTCCTGTTGTCCTCTCTCTCTCTCTCTCTCTCTCTTCATCTCCTTCTCACTTTGGCAATGCGAAATTTTCAGGCGCGCCACGTAGGATATTACATTCTGCGATATATTGATATAGAAATATTTCAGAAAGGCACATAATTTAATTTCACTTTCAATTAGGTTTTTCTCGATTTCGTTCTCCTTTTTTTTGCTTTTCATGACCTGCCCTTTGTTTCGTACTCTTTTAACGGAATTTAGTCGTTCTTCGCATTTTTGTTTTCGGTTTTTTCGCTCTTTCATTCGCTGCAACAGCAGCAGCAACAACAAATCACAATAATAATAGAACAACCACTATACAAATGCAAAGGAGCGCCGACCACCGAAAAAAAGTTCCGTACAAAATTCAAAACAATCATAATTATTGTGCCAAAAAAGAAAACGAGTAGAGAGAAAAACAAAACCGACATTTTTTTGTCGGTGTATTCTTTCATGCCATCGAGCCGAGCCGCACACGGAATTTTGTGCATCGAATCTTCATTGATATGCTGAATAAATACAACCTGAAATTCTTGAAATCGCTTCCAACGACAATTTACTCAATAGAATGTCTAATGCCGACGTTCGTCATTTTCGGCATGGTGTTGCGTTGCGAATGAGAGAAGGGTGACAAAAGGGCATAAAAGAAAGTTGTCGAAAGTCGCCGTTAACAGCAACGATTGTGTATGGATTTTGTGTGTATGAGTGAAAGCGATAGAGATAGCGAGAAAAAGAAGTGAAGCGGTGGAAAGAGTGAGAGGGAGAGAGTAGGAAAAACGAAGAGGAAAAAGGGCGGCCAAATGCAAACGAGAGCAAAAATTATGGAAACGGAATTATGGAATAAATTTATTCGAAGCTCGTAGTCAGCAATCGTTGGCATTGGCATTACGAGCAAATATGCACATTTCGTCTTTCATTCGATGCTGAATTTGAATTGCCGAGGGATAAAGCCACAAAAATGTAGTTGTTAAATCGCTAAATGGACGCCAAACATCGCACATGACCGAACCTCGATAGTCCATAGAAAATTTGGAACATATTTGTGTGAGTCAGTGTGTGTGTGTGTGTGTGTGTGTGTGGCTGTGTGGCGCGAGCTATATTCTTTTCGCACCATCCATTTGATGCGAGAACAAGCAAAGTGATCGCCAGAAAAAAAGTCCCCGAGAAATATATATGTGTACATAGAGAAGATGAGGGCAAAAAAAACGCACAACTAGAAAATGCTCGAATTGAAATGTGTTAAAGAGTGTCAGCACCGACGAGCAAAAAAAAACTCAAGCCAGAGCGAAAGAGTGTGAAAAAGGCAACACCAACGAATGAACGACATCGAATCATGAAAAATGGACATTAAAAAGCACACAGTGTCGCCGCGTTTAGACCGAGATCACATCAGCACGTAACTGAACGAACGCATAATGATGTTTGTGATATTTGAATTATTTTTACGTTCATCGCACGACACAGCCGAAAAATGAAAGGACAACCTGTGTGTATATGATTCTCGCTCTCTCACACGCACACACACACACACACACACACACACCGAAGTGAGAGTACGCGTGAATATGGTTTTGTTTCGGTGCCATCAAGAAAATATACACATAATTATAAATAAATGAAACTAGATGAGATGTAAAATGAAACACTGCTAACTACTGACCAGAGACTAGATTTCTTCAGCCGCACAAAACCATCGTCATTGCGAACATAACCCCGACACTGTGCTACTCTTTCTCTCTGCCTACCTCTCTGTCCCTCTCTGTCCCCCTCTCTCTCTCTTTCTAAATCTCTCTGTGTGGAAAATATGAATGAATCATTTGCTGAAAATTTGCTGGAATATGGGTTTATTAACACATTTCTGGCTTATTAATGGCATTCCTAACCGTAGCCGTTGTTAGGAGTCGTTCACTGCCTGCACACACAAGAGTGTGTCTCTCTCTGTGTGTGTGAGACAGAAAAGGAAATCGAGTATCTGCCACTGACCAAATCGTTTTTGGCTATAGTTTGTCGAAAGAATGCTAATAAATAGGATAATGTGATGTGTGAAATCCGAGCAAAAATCTCAAGCTCGATTGTAAACGATCGGTGCAATAGAAGTGGCAATCAGCGAACGAACAAATGAACGAACAACCGACCGACCGAAAAAAAAAGGTGAAACAACAAACGCATATTGAAGCAACTGAACCTGAATATAACCATTCGAATAAACGAGCGCGGAAAACATGATCATTACATTATGCGTGCGCTCGCGAACAGAAGCATTGTTTAATAGAGAACACATTATACTCGGCTCACATACAAATTATTCGCCAATGCAAGAAACACTCGGTGAATTAAATCGAGAGAGATTGTGCTGGCTAACTGGTATGTGCAAGCCGTTGCCGTGGACATCGCTCACGGTAGATTGAACATCAGAACATCATTACAGCATCATAATAATATCGTGCGATACTCGTCGTCATCTATTCCATTTTCTCGCTCGCACTCTCTTTCAATCAACGTGTATGACGGTACGAATCTCTCTTTTCTATTGCTTCGAAAACACACTCCACGGAGAAATATGTAATTATTAATTTTCGCCATCATCGTTGTTATTCCTTTCTATTTCATATAAAATGTGTATTAACGTACGGTGTCGTTTGCCTTTTGATTTTTACTCGTTCGCGCTCGCTCTTTTCGCACTGTCCTCCTTGCATATATATATTTTTTCTGTCACTGCCTCTCTCTCTCTCTCTCTCTCTCTCTCTCTCTCTCTCTCTCTCTCTCTCTCTCTCTCTCTGTGTGTGTGTGTATGTGTCGAGGCTCTACCGCTTTTCTCATGTAAATATGCTACTTGCCCATCGTATTCCGCATTTGTTTTCGTCGTTTTATGTGATGTGTAGCCTCTCTATATCGTTAAATAAAACTGAAATCGTTCAACTAAATTTGTCTCTCGAGACATGAGAAATAAGTATATAATATGCCGTATACAACGCATTCTTTCCTCTATATTCTATATTTAAACAATATCCGTACTTTTCTTAATATTTCTTTATCCTCCTTTTTGTCTTCGCTTCAATTCAATTTGCATAAAACTAATGCTTTTGCCACTCAGTGTTTGTTCTTTTTTTATTCTGAAGAACATCATAACGAATGAGAGTAGGAAAAAAAACTGTCGACCAGATTCGCAGACTGACACATGCACACCGTGGTAATTTATTTTACGTTTTTTTTTCATTGTTGCTGCTCTAGCTCTACAAAATGATAATTATTTTTTCTTTTTTTTTCTTTCGTTCGTATTCTTTTTTGTCGTTTGCTTTTTTTTGCACATTCTTTTTTTTTCTGCGTGTGTCTTCTTTTCAATCTTATTGTCGCATTTGTCGCTGTTTTGATGCCCATTGCTTCAGTTTTGCAAATTTGTAATAAAGCAAACAGAACAAAAAAGAAAAACAACGAATACAGAAGAAGATAAAATAAAAAGTGAGCAAATTTTACTGTATAAATATCAGGTCTTAGCACCACTTAGCGTTAGAAACCGTTTATTATTTCACTCACCAAACGACGCACCAAAGAACAACAACTGTGGCCAATGACAACTACTAAATAGCGAAATATTGTTTGTGTAGTGAGCGCGAAAAACAAAAAGAGTCAGCAATACTCTCTCTCTCTCACGCACGCATAACACAACGAACTGAAGAGCGAAGGGAATAATAAAAACTAACAGTGATATTATAAATCAAAAAACTTATTCATATTGCTGGCCGTTTTTCGTTTTCTATATCCTTCGCAGCATAAAATGAAAGGCAAGTGAAGAAACTGAACATGAAAAACTATTTAAAGTTTGTTCGTTTGTCTGCTCTGTGTTTTTGTTTTTGTTTTTGTTTTCTTTCGATTTTCTTTCTCGTCGATCTAATGTCAAACTTAACATAGGATGCCTTTTCTTCTTTTTATTCTGTTCTTCGCGTTGTTGTTGTATTTTTTTTCTCAGTTTTTATTTTTCTTTCTCGCTTTCGTTCGTTTATTTTTCCATTTGTTTGTTCCTCTCGCTCTCTATTTTATTATTATTATTTTTCTCTTACTGCCACTGCTCTAGTGCTTCTTGTTTGCTCGCTTAAATAGTCCTTTTGCAATCAAGTTCACACACATAAGGTGAGAGCATGAACTACTGCTTTATATTTTATTTTTTGTTGTTGTTGCTTTCTTTTTAATTTTTCAAAACAACAACTTTTCCTTCATAGATAATTGTTTCTCACTCATAAATGTTCATAGTTCATATATATATATATATATATATATATAAAAACACTGAATGAAAGAAAGCGGATGTTTTGTTCCCATTTTTTTTCTTCCTGAAATTCTGAACGTTCCACAAGATTGCAATTTCAGAGGGACGTTAAAACGGTTCTTTTCAAATGATCATTATCGTGAAAATTTATTTTTATTTGCCATTAAACGTCTCTGTACATTCTCTTTGCAAACATAAACATATTCACTAACAAACACAAAAAACGCTAACACACACACACACATTGGCATCTACTATATATATTTTATATTATTCACTGGGTTTTCAATTATCTTCAATTCCAACGAATCACCATGATTCTCATCATTTCAGTTCACTTTGATCATTTTCTTGTGCTTTCCATTTTTCATCATCTCTTCATTAGATGTTTTGTCACATACATTCACCAATTCCACCGTGCACTTCACATCACACAACAGTCAATTTCCGTGTATCACTATCGCGGTTCCAAGAATGAGAAAAAAAAATACGCGTACGCATACTATTCTTCGGCGAAAACGGTTTTATTTTATAACTTTTTTTGTTGTTGTTACTGTTCGCTGCCTCGCTTTCCTTCGTATTCGAATAATTCGGAGCGAATAGAGGGATAGAGTGCGTATGGAAATGAGAGAGAACTGACCGAAATGCGTGTATTTCCTAAAAATGCGATATTGATACTAAAAGGTAACACGGAATCGAGAGTATTGTTGGCGTCGCGAGTCGGAAAAGTCTTCTCCTAATGGTATAACTTTCGATGCTCCGTTGTACAATGTGTGTTTGATGCCGTGTGATGATGATGCTGCTGCTGCTGCTGATGCTGATGCTGATGTATGTTGTGCCGTTTCACAGCCACACACGAATATTTTCCGTACGCAAATGTTTGGGATAACATTCGAGCGCGTTCGAGGCTATCGTCGAAAATGTGAAAAATCAGATGCCAGAGAAGCGCCAAAATTGTAGAACAGACGAGATGCGACTGAATAAAAATTGTTCTACACATTGATGAAGGAAAATTCGCCTGTTTTTTACGCATGACGACTTTGCATTCTCGACGTGGATATACTACCAGTACACAACGGGTGTATGATTCATGTATGTACAACGTTATGAATATTGTGTGTTGGCCTCCGTTTCCACTCGTGCCAGTAGAGGCATCAGTAGTAGCAGTAACAGCAGCAGTAGTATTCGCACACATCGGGAATCCCAATGATTTTCCGAGCGGTACATAGCATTAGAGCATCGTGTATAGACGACATCGAACGCCATTTCCATTCGCACAGTGAGCGTGCGACCGAGCGATTCGCAAAAAAGCTACACACTGTTAAGTTCGGTTGTTCAACGCTCTCGGTGTGTTCGAGCTCAAGTGTGACTGCCAGAGAGAAAAAGATGGGGAGAGAGAGAGAGAGAGAGAGAGAGAGAGAGAAAGAGATCCCTTTATCCGTTCGATATCGAGAAACAGACACAATCCCATTCGGAATATAAAAATCAACCACCCGTTTTTCGGTTGGACCAACATTGATACTGATGCTGGCAGCGCAAACAATGTACGAATGTCTTTTGTTTGCCCATTCGATCAAATAGTTATTCTACGTTGTCGTCGTCGTCGTCGTCGTCGTCATTGTTGTCTTTGTGAAATTTTGACGTTGAATTTATGTTTGTAGTCGTCAAAAACAAGTCATTTTTCCCGATGGATCGTCGCCATCACATTCATTGACAAACACGCACGTGCCGCATACCGATCACCGTCACAATTTCGCCCCATGACAAATGGATTCCTCGTATGTACTTGTCATAATTTCAGCGTGAGATCAATTTTTAAGTTTGTTTTCTTTTTCGTTTTCCTTCTCCTTCTTCAATTTAAACGATGGCACGATTGGACGAGCTGAGCATGCGTGCCGCTCATTATTTTCGGTTTGGTGATTTTCATGCCACGACATTGAATACACGAAAACAACATTTTCAAATAAATGAATAGCCAAATGGCAATGCAAACAGTTTAGACGTGTGCCCATATGAAGATCAACTCGGAATTTCGTTCGAGCCATTGAAATCGACACAACAACTATGACGATGGCAACGGCAAAAGCAACGGCAACGGGCGACGAGGACGACAACGACCGACAAATCTTCTCGAAACCACACAAAAGCTATAAATATCAATTCGAGCATCTATCTCAATGTGTATCTTCATTTTGTGTGCTGCCTGCCTTTCGTTTCTCTATGTCGCTATGTCTTGCTCGACGTTCAATTTATTTCATTTCGTTTTCTCATTCTTGCGCGCGCACACGGTCGTTCCTTCGCTCGCTCACACTCGCTCCCATTCAATAGAACAAAATAGTGTCACTTTTGATTTTCGCCTGCGTTCAAAGTGAATCAAGGCTCAAATTGTGTAATATTCGCCCGATAATTTAGCTCAGTTCAGTTTGATTTCGTGCTTTACGATCGTTACAATTCCTTCATTTTATTCGTGCTCTATTTCTTTCGTGCGCTGCGAGCATCCGTATTCCCTTAACTTAAATAAATCGGAACGGATTTACTCGATGATAGCTCACTTTTATTAAGATTACACCGAAAGCTTTCGACTCTCATTCTCGTCATGTTTCATTGAAATAGATGACATCGAACAAGTCGAAGCCACACATTAGCATCGATTGAAATAGGCATGGATCGAGAGTCAATCAACCGATGCCACCGAATAATTCTCTCTATTCCTCTCACTCACCTTTCGTTCCAAATCATACAAGCACACATACACAAACACTTCAGAATAGATGTACGCATTTGCTCGCTCACTTATTCACGCTTACTTATTGAGGATCTCTCAAGGATTTTTCTTATTTTAAATAGATTGCATGCTCGTTAGGATTTGTGTTATTGGAATTATTCGCTATAATTATACCCATTCAAATCACACTTGCGAAGCTTGAAGGCGTGCGCACCAGAGCGCTCATTTTTCGTAAAACAAAAGTAAATGAGTTCATTTGATTTGGCCGGTGAGTGATGGTTTTTTAGCTTGCTCTTGGTGCGAAACGAATCATTTGAAAGGATATGAATCAGCACGTTAAACATCAGAAGCATCGGTGGCAGTCGCAGCATCGACGAACGCGGGCAGCATAAGCCGTAAAAATACAACATAAATGCAGCGAGCAGATCAGAATCGAGCATAATCGACACATTACACACACGAATATTTTCGCATCGATTCGGTTGTCTATTTCAATTCATTTCATTAGTAAAATTAACATGAAATAGTTAGAGTCAACACCCATTATGCGAGTGAGCGATCGAATCGCTTGTGTTGTACGTACAGTATGATGTGCAACAGTGGTAAACGGGCTGGCTCGAAAAATTGCTTGCGTTGAAACGGTACGCATTGAAATTGCATGTGTGCTCTCAAGTTCTTGTTGGTTGTTTTTCCCTTCATTTGGGTGCAGCCATTGCATTTTGCTCTCTGTTCACATGTAATTCCACCAGGCTCGTGTGCATATCATTAAATGCAAATGCACATCTGGTTCAAGTGAATTCGATTTGTGCACTACCACGTCCCAGTTTTACGAATCGAATAACGTAATAGTCATTAAATAATGAGAGAGAAAGAGAGAGTGAGAGAAAAAAGCGCACCAATCTACACACTCAAAGAGTGAGAGAAAGACAGGGCCATCATGTTCTGTAAGGAAAAGTCATTTTGCTTATGCACAAATGGAATAGTTGAATTCGCGAAGTGGCTGTGTGCTGTGGTTGGCTTTTGTATGAATTAGAAGAAGCGCGATCGGATATGTATCGTGCGATGCGATGATGTGGCGCGTGAGTTTTTGTTTTTCTTTTACATTGCTGCCCTTTTTTCCGTATCTCTCGTTGCCGTTTTTCTGTCTTTGTTTTATTGCAAGTACACATCGTTGATGTAATCCAATTCATTTTGTAAAAGCTTGAAATCCCAAGCTCTGCTCGTTCCACATTGTGTATGGGTGTATGACATACACACACACACACACACAACATTGAAGCCGAAGAGATGAAGAGGGAGCGAGTGAACGAGTGTATGGGTGTGTGTATGTGATTTGGGCATCGAATCGAGTGAAAATTGAGCACGGATTCATTTAATTTGGCTATTTATGGAAAGTGAACTACGATCCCAACAAACCGCGTTGAATCATGATTATATCGGCCTCGAATTTATCGTCAGCGTAATTCTTTCTTCTTTTTTTTGCTGCTCCCAACAATGTTCCCCCTCATCTTTACTTTCATTACGAGCATGCATATTAATTCAACGTCGGCAACCGTTTTTCCTTTTCGATTCAGTGTTTATCATCTCGACGGTATTTTGCTCGTTCGTTTCGTCGAAGCAGAGAGAGAGAGAGTAGGAGAGTTCATTATGGTTTTTCCCGTCGACATCGTTTCGGTTTTGTATATGTCGTGTTCATACCAGTAAGTAAGATTTTCTCTCTCTCCATTTTTGTCAAACCACTGAAAGGTTCTTCGCAATACGATTATGGTATTTTTGCACTCATCTTTCTTTGCCTTCTCCTCATGCCATGCGTTGGGTATCTTTTTTTGTGTGTTGTTTATACGCTTTCTTTTTCGTCCCTTTCTCGCCTCTTGCGTTACGTGTGTTCTTGGTCGTTTATTTTTTGTTCATTTCACGTAAAAATTACGCTCGCTCGCAATAGTAGTACGTGTGGATACATGAATGTGCTTGTCAGATCCAAAACGATCGAACTAAATGCATACACGTAGAGCACATATTCCACTTGTTATAACAGGTTTGTGTATAGTGGCATTTATTCTGTTTCCATATCGAATTGCGGTTGATTTTCGTCTATTTGCTTCATTGTTTGACGCATTCCACTCAGTCAGTAGTAAGCCAAACCAAAAAAAAAACAGTGCCCGAAAAAAAACAAGAACGAAGAAAATAGCAGCAGCAGAAACAGTAAAAAAAGACAAAGCAAGTGAGTTGCTTTTCGATGGGATTTTTCTTTCGAATTAAGTAAACACCGATCGGATGCACTCAACAAAAGCCAGAGAACTGATTGAACATTCACGTACATCACTTGAGATACCTATGGCAATCGTTGTGTGATTTCTTTGTTGTTGCTGCTGCTGTTTTCGTCGCTTTTTTTTCCTTCACACACCGAACGAAATAAAAATGAGCAAAATGCCACATATATCGGAGAGCGAAAGAGAAAAGAAAACAGAAAGAATAAAGTAAATGCTCTTTGCTTAGTTTAGTTTGAATTGGTTTTGGTTGTTGTCGCGTATATTCACAGACGACGAAAAAAATGAAGCATGTACGCCTTACGAGGCTATGCATGTATGAAGATGTAGAGTATAACATAACATAACAGAGTCTTCCTTTCGAATATACCATACACACACACACACACTACACGGACTGCGTGCATGTGTGTATATGTTGCGCTGACAACACACAGCGTACAATACTCATACAGACGCACGGTTTGCCGAGTCAGCCAGCCAGGCAATGTGATGTGTCGGTGTGCTGTGTCGGCGACGGTGACGGTGACGGCAGCAGCGACAAAACGGTATAGAGATAAAAATGTGTGTTAAACACAGGCGGCTGTTGTGTCCGTGTGCTTTTACCAAGCAACATGCTCTGTGTGTATGAGTCGTCGTCGACGGGCTGAATGAGAAAAACGAGACTGAGAAAATACATCGCACACAGAAAATATATACGACCAGCGCAATTTAGTAGTCGGTAAACAACGTACGAGTGTTGATGCTTTGTGTTATTGGCAGTTGTGGCTTCGATTGCAGCACCGTTTTGTATCTGGTATACCTATCAACAAATTGACTTTTGCCGATCGAATGGAGTTGGCGAACCGCGATAACGAATACACAAATTTACGTATTTGCAACCGATATCGAATGGTATTGCGTGCCCAACAATTTAAAGCGAAGAGAGCTAACCGAGTCGACCCCAGAGCGGCGATGTGAGAGAACGCGCCGAATTAAATGTAACAAACAAACAGAGCGAAAAAAAGTCGGCAAAGAACCCGAAATAAAACAACAACAACAACAACGAAATACATCGCATAAACCAAAGGCATTTATTCAAAATCATTTCGAAGTATCGAAAGAGTCACACACGTTCGAATATCTGCTTTTCGCAAATGTTGAGCGTCAACAATGCTTAAGTGTGTCCAAACATAACAACAAACAAAACCGTGTGCGGCGTTCAACATTTTGTGCTGTGTAGTTTTTTTTTTGCATTTTTTTTTTTGGTTTTTATTCGGCTGTTTTATATTTCGTTTTTCGGTTGTGTATCTTTTCTCCCTCTCCCGTGTGTAATGTACAATTTTTGTTTTTCTATGTAAACGAATTCATGTGCCAAATCATTCGCAGTGCTTTCAGTGGGTTATTGTTGCTGTTGATAGTGTGCTGTTGGTTTTTTGTATGTGTTATTCCTTTCGCGATGGTAACATTTTGCGAGTGAGCAAGACAGCCAACCGTGTAACTTATGTGTTTGTGTCACTTTTTCGTATGAGAGAGTAAACATTTGAATATTTTGGTATGCGTATATTAATGCAACGCTAAACACTTGCAAAAACACATACAGTGAGCGAACCATCGAGAGAGCGAGCGAACGAGCGAACAAGCAAAGCAAACGAGCGAACCGAAGCTTTGCATGGCATACACAGCGAGAGATAGTGATACAGACGCTGCGACTGCATGAGCGAGAGAAAAACGGTCCAGTTCGTATGAAGTTTATTTTGGTTGGGTGTGAAACGTGCGGTAATCAACATAGGAAATTTGTGAAATGAAAAAGCGACTCGAAATCAAAAGCAGCAGAACAACACAGTTTGAAAATGTAAACTACTCTCTCGGAATGCAATTTTAAATAAAATGCAAATAAATTTAACATACGCGAATAAAAAAAACACAACTCCGATGTGCTTGTTAAGTGTGGACTTGCACCGATAAAAAAATATTACATTTCAGGATCAACAACAACGAGAGAAAGCGACAAAAAAACATACCGTAAAAATATATAAAAACAACAACAACGAAGATACATACAATTGAATAACATTTAATTGAATTTTCAATTTTTGATTCTGTGGCGCGCACATGAGAGCCTCATGTCTCTCAATACGTGCATCTAGCAACTAAAGAGTTTTTTTTTATATTATTAATTGCTTACACTGCGCCATCGATACCATTAAATATCAGTTTTTGTTCATTTCGGCAAATGTTCTTTTTTTCGGGCTCCCCTTGCATTTGTAACTGTTTTGACTCTTTTTCATGCAACGAATGAATAACAAATATCAGTTGAAATTAATAATAATGGGACGCTATGAATAAGAGATTACAATGTGCTTGTGCGTGACTATTTATTCTTCACCATTTCAATGACAATCGCAACGCGCTCGCGCGCCCTCACACTCCCATACAACACACGTTACGGAGCTTACAAGCAACTAAAAAACTGAAAAAGAAAAATGAGCCATAAATCACATTGAAAATAACTCGTGACGCTCACATAGGTGTGTAGATGAAGTGCATCAAGAATTGTATTTGCCCAAGTGATTAAAACGTGCGTTCAAAAAAAATCACTGCACTGAAAAACGTAGCAAAAGACGAATTCATAAATAGACGAAAAGTTTCCGCGAGACACAAATTCCACCGGGACACCGACGAATAAAGAAGAGCTAGCAGCAGCAGCAGCCGTTGCCACCAGCCAGCCAACCGACATACATATATAGATAGACAGACAGACACACAGAGAGAGAACATCACTTCAACGGAGCAATAATGGTGCACGAAAATTCGAATATCTGTTTCGCGGCAACAGCGGCTTATTCGACAGCATCACCGAACACTGTAAATAAGGTAAATAAAGTCGTCGCAAGCCATAATCCCATTATAAATCTTATTTAATTCCGCAGACATTTCCTCTCCATCTTGCTCTCGTTTAAATTGATAAGCAAAAATGCCAAATCCAAAGACCGAATCCGCACGCTCTCGCTTATACACTCACATTCTCTTTCAGTCTCAGTGTCTCAAGGTAGTATGCAATCCATAGTCAAGTTGTCAACGTCTTTATCAGCGTCGACGAACTTACTGAATGGTTATTAACCATCTCAAATGGGATTTCAAATTGAAATGAATATCACAATGAACCTTTGCATTTAGCCAAGGAAAAAGGATGTATTTATTTGTTTATTTGTTTGTTGGTTTGTTCTGGTATTTCATATTGTTCTTCTCTCACATTTTCCGTCCAAGCAAAAACACAGAATACAAATGCATACACATTTTTAACCATGGTAACAGAGCCCATTTTATTTATCAATTTGGATACACAGATTAAGTGATCAAATAATTCGATTCTAATAATAGCATTTGGAGTATTTAGTCGGCTTTGATTTTCGTTTAAAATAACAATAATAACAACAACAACACAACAACAAAAACAACAACAACAACAACAACCACAACGACGGTAACAAATCGATCTTTCAATCAAACTGAATTGCCGGTTCGTGATTCAGATTAGGAATGACATTTTGGTTGGCATCGCTTTCGAGCGTGTGTTCGTAGCGTGTGTATCTACTTGGTGATGGTCTTTGTACGTCTGAAAATTCAAATTCATTCCGGAGGTATTATCATCAAATTTTTATTATATTATGTAACATTGTGGCAAAGCCTCGACCCAAATGATTTTCTTCGAAGTCAATTCCCGTATTAAATGAGTCACACACACAAAACCCCAAGACAATGTAACAATGAGCAATATCTGAAGATTAGTACGTGTTATGACGTTTAGACCCATGTAAAAATAAATTTTTGGTGCAGCTTACACATGTCGACAATATTTCGTTTCGATTATTATGTTACAAGTCATTCACATTCATTGGAAACATTGTTATTCATCTGTGTGTGAATGAGTTTAAATGGATTGTCGCATTCAGAAATTTTCAAAAGCTTTATCTGGCTGGTTAATGTGTGTGTGTCTGTAGTATGAGTACATTTGAGTCATCCTCCTTTTCTCTCTTTCTTTCCTTCTTGCACAACAATCTCATATTGGGCATTGTTGCATTGTTTGTCGAAAAGGTGTACCATGTGTGTACACAACAAAACCGATTTTATCCAAAAATACACACGCCGCACCGATAGACGACGGTCGACATGTCGATCATTACGATGAGATTTCCGTGTTTTGTTCTAAAATGCCTAGGCATTTTTCGAATGACGATGAGTTTTAAGGTTCTTGTTTAATGCTTTCGAAATGGCTAGAACATTTGACTCTGGTTTGATGCGTAGTGATTTGATTGCCGCCATTCGGACGGTCAAAAATGGTTATGTATGTCCATTTTTATTGTATGATTTTACCACAAATCTAAATGTACTCTTCACTCTCGCACGCTCTCTCTCTCTCTCTCTCTCTCTCGCTCTATCTCTCTCTCTCTCAAGGATGTTGTTATACTTTTATTTTTACTATGTGTATAATATCCGTATAAAACACGATGGTCAAAATAGAAATGCCATTTGTATGTTTCGACCATTCTCATATTGAATTTTTCATAACAAATGATATGGGCATTCACCATGAACAGCCATTTGTTTCTCCTCCCCATCGTAGTCGTCATTGTCGCCGATCTCTGCGATTCTGAAGCGAAAAAGCTGTGCAAAATGTACCATAAAATAGAGAGTGTTACGGCTATTGAGTAGACACACTAGACAATATTGCAATGGTTAAATATACACATTGGCCACATTGGCTATAATAAAAACATACATCGCCAATTGATTGCACCGTTGAGGATTGTAGAATCGAATTGAGAGTTCAGCACATTCAAGTCAAATGCTTAAATATGAATAAAAACCGATTGCAGTGACAGGAGGCAGAGAGCGAGAGAGCGAGAGAGAGAGAGAGAGAGATATATAAAAAGTGAAAGTGAACGTGTTTCGGTCGAATCCAATAGATGTATTGACCGATGGTGATGTGCTCGAGATGCTGTTATTTTTTATATGAATTCGCCTGCTTGTTCATTGCCCATTGCTCATTGCGCAACTTCCACCGTTTCTGTTTTACTTTTTCTCTCTCTCTCTGTCTATCTCCATTCACACTCTCCTGGTCGTTGTTGTCTTTTTTCCCTCTTTCTTTTGGTCATTTCTTTGGCTTTCTCGTTGGTTGCGTTTCGTCTGGTTTGGTCTGGTCTGGTCTTCTATTTCTTGTTAGACCGAATAACGAAGATGTCATTTGCTTTTATATGTTTTATCATGTTAGAAGATACACAGCCAACACGGCCAAGAAAATAAATGCGCAATTTAAGTGTGGACCTTGGCAAAACGGTCTCATTTGATGGGGAGAGTGTACGTAGTGCAATAAATAATAATATTATTTCACTGGCATCGTTGTACCATTTATCTCATTCATTTCGTTTTTTTCGTTTCCTTTTTTTCTTTCTGTTCTTTTTATATTTATTTTCGTCATTGTCCTGTATTTTCTTTTCTTTTCTTTCTGTCTTTCAGAATGTCTACGCCAAAGCCATTTATGATAATATAGCTGAGAGTCCTGATGAATTAGCATTTAAGCGTGGCGATTTGTTAACTGTCATCGAACAAGACACAGATGGCCTGGAAGGATGGTGGCTGTGCACGTTGAGAGGCAGACAGGTAAAAATCCATCCGTAAAGCATTTCAACAAATTTCATCAACCCCCACGTTCCTCATTCCTCCAAAAACCGATTTTCATTGAATTTAATTCGCTGCTTTTTGAAAATAGAGCAGTGATGTGTATGTACAGGTACACTGTACAGTGTGGCAATACGAATCGATGTGTATGTGTCTATGTCGGTGGTGTGTGCTGGCTTAAGCCAGAAGAGTACAAAACCGAATTAGCATTTGTATGTGCCAGGCACATGTGAAAAAAGTCTTCGTCTGCCGTGTTTTATACCCTGACTAGCTCTTATTCAATTCAAATTATTTCAATTTTCTTTTGCTTCTACATTACATCTTTCGGGTTGGCGTCTGTCATTGCAAGGCGTATAGTATGAAACCAGCCATTTGATTTAAATATGAGTGCGCTGTGACAAAACACTCTTTTTTTTCTTCACTGCTCTCTTCGTTTTCTACTTCTTCTTCATTTTTCTCTTCTTCATCATATTATTCTTCGATGTGTTTTTTTTTTTCTGTGTATGTATTTACTCGTCGCTTTTTGTCATTCGGGTTTTTTTCCCGACTTCACTCGAATAACATTTACATAGATGTGTGAATATTTTGTGTATCTATGCGTTAAATTTACACAATCTGCGACGCGACATGGCACAACATGATCAAGTTTACTTCAGGGTATTCCGCATGAATGAAATAATGATAAATAGGCGCTATTTTTTTTCGTTTGAATAAAATTCATTTCGCTCTCTTTATTTTGTCATAACACCAGGCAAAATAATATGCAATTATTCTTCTTCAGCAGAAAAAAGGAGCCAAACAGCGAAAGAAAAAAAAGTATCGAGTTACGTCGTCGCATCAAAAGTGGTGAGCACAATGAAAAGTGAGAACGAAGAACTGAGTGAAAAAGGCAACGGATCATGAAGCACATTACCGTCATTGCATTTGTGTGTGTGTGTGTGTGTGTGTGTGTGTGTGTGTGTGTGTGTGTGTGTGTGTGTGTGTGTGTGTGTGTAAATAACCGTTATTTTTTTCAATTATTATTTTGGTCTTTCGGTTTTTTGTTCCGCTTTAGAGAAAGGAAAAAAAAATGCGAAGGGAAAAAAGTGAAATAGTAAAATATGGTCTCTATATAATATAAACAAAGGCAACGAATCACCATGAAATGCGTTTCATTTAAATAAAATTGGACGGTGCTGTCAGATCACTCCGTTCGCGCGTCCATCTCTAGTCGTGTTCAATTTCATTTGCCTTCTTCCGTTACCACAAATTCTGTTTCAAACCCCCTTCCTCCCCGAAAAAAAAATTCGGCCCGCTTGGTGGTTCGGTGTTGCGATGCGTGCTGTAATTTTTTTTTTTCAATCTGGCAAACTATTCGACCACAGCGAAAAGAAATGCGCACAAATTTCACTGCGAATACTTAGAGATAGAGGAGACAGATTCGATCGATTCCAGCGGAATAAAAATCGGCATCGGAAGAGGAAAAGAAAAAAAGCGAAAAAATGGTTATGTCATGCCTATTGGCCACAGCACATGGCATTCCTATCATGGTTTTTTTCCTTTCTCCATCTATGTCTCTCCGCATACATTCTTTGTTCTCTCTCCTCTATTTCCGACCGTGGGGTGTGTTTGTTTTGCAGTTAATTTTTATTTTTATCTATTTTATATGACAGTTCTGTGCGTATGTACGCCTGCAGCTAAATATCGAACTATTCATTTTGTGTTGGCCTAAGCGCACATGCCACATATTTTTCTATCTTTTTTTGTCGTTCGTTATCGCCCCGATGTATACCAGAGAAAACCAATATGTATTCAAAGGCATTCCCGATTTTTTTTTATTTCGAAATTGTCGATGAAACATCAACAAAGTAGTCCAAGTGTATCGATTTGTCATACACACCGAATGTTTGGCATTTTGTGTTTCTGCTGATATTGTCGGCTTGTCAAACGATACTAACGAATTAAAGATAGATTTGATACGTTTTCGATTTCAAAATGAACGTGTGTGTGTGTGTGTGTGCGGCTGCTGCTGCTGTTGTTGAAACATTCCGAATCAAAAACGCAAATTATACCTTCCATAATATGCTTGAATTTAACCGCTGCTCGATTGCCATTGTAAAATCTGAAGTGCGTCAGCGAAAAACAATTCGTAAGCACAAGCAAAATCACAGGCACAGGCACATATGCCAGGAAGCCATCCTGTAATAAGTTTTCTATTGATTCAAAAATTGCATGTTACGTCATCGTTACTTTTTATGGGGTAGGAAAATACAAATTCAAAATGTTTCGCCTATTCGCGTGAATCGAAACGAGATTCGAAAAGATTGCTCCAGCTTGTCCCTAATGACATCGATGATATTTGAAACTAAATAATTAAGCCGGAAATTCGGTACGAAAATTCCGAACATGTCTGTGTGTTTTCATACTTACCACACATATATACACTCGCACTCTTGCGTTCTCTTTATCACCATAGTTAGCTCACCACGCATAAACCCAATAATCAATTGGGAAAATCACTTCGTGAATTATCCCATCGAATCGATGGTTTAATCGCCATTCATCATGGCGCACACACACACGCACACGAAAAAAAACTTGGAATCGATCGTAATTTTCGAAATGAAAATGTGTTATTAAACACATTAAATCATTTTATTGGGATCTAAAACGCGCGCTAGCAAAATTCACCAACAGATGGAATTTTGCACAGTGTGTACTGTGAACACACAAGCCCAGTGTGCAAATTATTATGGAATGCAAAATGGTAAAATGATCACTTTATTGAATTTTTGATACCATTTCTGCATAAGTATATTCAATTACACATACATTAATCGGATAGCCTGCAGTTATCGACTTCAATAAAATGATATGCGATGAGAGCAGAAATTTTGCGAAATGGAACGAACGCACACACCAATGGTCTCTCTCTCTCTATCTCTATCTCTATATATATCGCTATCGTTTACACCACGTTCAAATAAACTAAAATAGAATTCGAGTTCCAGTTCAATTTGGTTTTGAACATTTCGAATAACAAATGGAATATTATATTTTATCATACAGAATCACGAGTAGATAAGCGACTGGTTATCGAAGATACATTTATGGCTGTTATCTTTCAATAAAACAGTCGAGTGAAGGAGTACTAGTACCGGAGCGAGAGCGAAGAAAAGAGAGAGAGAGAGAAAGGCATTGTCCAAACATTTCAAAAGTCAATGGGGAATTATTGCCATTTTTCCCGTTTGAGTCGTGAACTGTGTGCAGTGTTTGTATGTATGATAAGAATAAAAATTTATAGATTTTATTGTAATTTTCTAGTCATTAAATGAGATAGACTTTTGTAGGCCAACAGTGATAAGCGTCGGAATTTATTTACAGAACGTACAAATCATTTACGGTCGTTCTTTATCGTGGCTGCTATTCTCAGTGCTGCCGTTTTGGATTTGTGCAAAAACTAGTGTCGAGGACACTGGGAGGGCGAAGAAGAAGAACAAAATGAAAATAATAGAAATGACAGTTTGTAAATGTGAAAAAGTTTCACTGTGTGTTGAATAGGCGCATGGCACACATTGCAATTATGTGATACACAGTTTGCTTCTTTTCCTTTCATTCTTTCTGTCCTTCCAAAGGCTTCATTCAGTGTCGCTTTTTTTCATACACTTTTGACGCTGTGTATGTATTGTGTATCTGTATTTGTGTTGACTCCCTCGAAGAAGTCGCCTTTGTCGCATTCATTTTTACAACTTAAGTGATCACAACTAATTTTCTACGCGTATACGCTTATGATTGCAATTTTATGACTTTTCGTTTGCGTGACGCTATTATGTACGTGATGGCTGCGGGCTGCCTCTTTCGCTCTTTGCAATGGGAACAACAACTCCAGACTCACAAACTAAGCGCAAAACTCACTTCATTTTTATCGTTTTTGAAACTGTAATAGAAAATGAGCTGCTGCTGAATATAAATATGCGAAACGTTACACCAAACCATCTAACGCCAACCCATCTAAAGTATATATCTATGGTATAGCTGTGTATTGTTTTGGAAGTTTTACAAGAAAAGCCGTCTCATTCGAATAAATGGCATAATTTCAAATTGAAATGTCAACGATACACGACAATGATGTTGACGACGACGATGACTACTACGATGACGGTCACGGCGGCAACAGAGCAACGAGAAGAAATAGTTTGCTCTTATGCATCACAGAATATGAAACAAAGTTATTTTTGCGACGAAAACACAGTGATTTTTGCTCTGTGCTCCCATTCTCACACGACGATAACAAAGCCAAGAGCTGACAAAATAAAGACAATCGAAGACATTTGTGTGAAATGTGTGTAACAAGGAATATAGTAGCGTCAACTATCGTATAGCGATAAGCAATCATCGTCAACCGTACGAATGCTAATAATAAATTTTCATGGAATCTAATTTTCAGATCATTTTCGTTGGAGATTTATGTGATTTTCGATAGAGAATCATCAAGATGGAAGAGCGTGCGCTGGCGACTGCGTCTCTCGCGAAACGTACGCGATTGAGTTCGACCGTGATCTCCTTTCTGCTCGCTCTTCATTTTTACGCCAGATAAATTTTGACATAGTGCGCAAGCCATTTGTTGGTATACTTTGCACATAAATTAATTTCAATTTGTCTCGGAATTGCATCACTTGATTGTTATCGTGTCGCCGCTCCGATGAAGCACACTGTGCTGTGAAGCTACTGCCACTGCCACTACTTTGCCGCTTTGCTAAATTGAAATGCCGACGCGCATTTAGAAATTCCACCGTTTTCATTTGTTAAATCGATATTGGAGTGAAATAAATAATTAATTGGTCTTTTGATAAATGTTGGCAGTTGGCGATGCAATGTTTGATCTAATTTATGAATATTTCGTCCGTTGACGACTTGCAAATAGACCATTTTCTTTCATTATTTTCTGTTTTATTGACTAAATGCTTTCATCAACCTTTTTTTTTCCTCCATCCAACCATTTATTTATCGTTCTATTTTTTGTTTGCCTCTGAGTTGTTGTTTTTTATTGCGATCGATTTTTTTTGTGTAACTTGTGTCTTTTTTTTCTCTCTCCCACTTTTTCTCATTCTCTCATGCTGCAGGGCATTTGTCCAGGAAATCGATTAAAAATAATTTCGTACGAGGCCACTTGCTATAAACCATCGCCAGTATCATCTCCATGTCCATCGATACCAAGCATTTACTACAATAATTCAATTTTATCGTCCGCTGATAGCATCCTGTACGAGAACACAGTTGACTTTGGTGCCACTACTTCGCCAAACCATCAAAAACTGCAGGGAAAGCGTAGATCATGGCATATAATGCCGAACAAGGTATTGTATTATCATTATTATTTTATCTCTCTATCAAAAGTTTTGAGTAATCATTAATCAAACTCCGATGGATTGGAGTTTTGTGCATAGACATTTATTCATTCGCATATTTCCGTAGCATGCTACTGTCATTGTGTTTGGCAAATAATTTTAATAGTATATTGTGCAGCACATTTACGTTCACAAATGAGATGATGATGATGTTGATGATGATGATGATCATTTGCTAAAATTGAAGCTGCCACGCGTTTCATTGCATTTGATATTTATCATGAATTTTCGATTATTTTGATTTTATTTGGTGGCATAAGTGGGCAGCAAGAGGTTGGGGGGACGTGAGGAGTGTGTTAGCGTAGAGCTAAATTCATTTGCTTCGTTTTTGCCCTATTTTGATAAACTCATAAGAATCAAATTCGATTTATCTACTGCAAATGACATGGCTTCCCATTCAGTTCACCCACTTCACCTCCTCCTCGTCCTCCACCTCCCCATCCTCGCACACACTTAAATCAAAATCTGACCAGCGAGAAACCAATTCTATTATTCGATTCATTAATAATTCATTCAAAAATTCAAAACCATCAACGAATCAAATAATAGAATAAAAAAAAAAATTGTTCGACATACGCTCTGTAGATGCCTTGAATAATTAACTCTTAGGATATATAGATTATACTCGTGATTCCCAAATGATGGAAAGCTGTGACTGCTACTGCTGCTATGTTGCCATTTGGTGTTTGCGCGGTTTCTGTTTGCATTGCTCTTTATCAGCATATTGCCAACTTTAAATTACAAATCAAATGCTTGAAATGTTTTAATTCTTCAATTATTCCATTCTCTTCTCGGCAAAAAACTCGTCTCCGGTTGTATTTTCACGAGCCATTAGTTGCATGCGTGCGCGTTTTCGCAAAATCGCCAACAAATGAGGATCCGGGCATGTTCCGGTTCCCATTCTCTCTCTCTCTCTCATTCTCTCTCTCTCTCTCTCTCTCCCTATTTACATTCATTTAAATCGCTTAAATATTTTTCGCTGGTGGTGTGTCGGTCCGAAATGTGTAAGGCTCAAACGACTGGAACACTGGTGTAGTCGAGTCAATATAAGCGAAAAATGTTCGTGGTATAGCTTGAAGAACATTGAATGGAACATAACACGTTCGCCATGATTAAAACTAACTTCTACTCAACGGTGGTGATTTTTTTTTCCTCGTTCACAACCCGCTGATGTTCCATCTCTGCTGTAATCGGCGAAAGAACGTGAACGCCACGGCTTGTTGTTCGGTTTGCTTTAAAACAAAGTTCCAAATCGAATGAAAATAATGGACACCACCATCGCCGCTGCCTTATTTGTATTCTGGGTATCCAACAAATATGCTTTCAGCTTGATCCATTTTTCCTGTTTATGTATATGTATATTGAATACGACCGAATATTGTGTGTTTGTGTGTGTGTGTTCGCATTATCCATTAGATGGTTCTTTTTCTTTCTATTTTTCTTTTTTTTTTTGTTATTTATTTATTTATTTACACGATGCCATTACGCTCATGTTCCCGGCGACCAAAAGCTTATGTTTTAAGGGGAAAATCTCATGTGAGTCGACTACTCCATTGTGGCATCGTTGTTTTGTGTTATCTTTTCACTGTCATCGTCAAGAGGCTAGAAATCAGAGATGAAGAACATTTTTGGCGATGGCGAAAAAAAAAATGGCAGAAAAAGAATCCATGCTGCATGTAAACAAATTGATTAAATTTTCGGTTCTTGGGAAAACGACCGACAACAGTGAGTGAGAATCGAATAACCAATCCAAAAACAAGCCAAGCCAAGCCAAAAGCAATCCTCCGGCACCATTCATCATTTCCACACATATGTGATGACGACGATGATGATGATGACGGCAACGGAGTAACTAGGAATGGGATCCAAAGCGTTTCGAATGCAGAAAATAAAATCACACCCAACGGGAATTCGGATGCCTATGAATGCTTTCTATTTATTTTTGTTAGTGTTAAGATTGTTTTTGTTATGCGAGATCATAAAAATAACAGGCAAAAATAGAAGAAGTAACTCAGCAAAGAGATGCTCTCTTATTGTGTTTTGAATGGATGTATACACACCATATAATATATATATATTTTGCGAGTCAGAGAGATTTCCGAAAAAAAAAACCAACAACAACACGACAAACAAACAGAGGAGAAAAAAAAAATGTATATGTATAAATGGTGGAATGTGTTGTTGTTGTTGTTGTTGGCGGCGATACGCTGCAATATTTACAAAATTGCTCACTTTAAATTTCGAATCTCCTCGCTGCTCTCCAACTCTCTCTCTCTCTCTCTCTCTCTCCATCACTCCACGATCTCATTCTCTGGCTGGCTTTGTGCTCGTGCACAAATAAAAATCCACATGAAATTCTCAATGCATACCTAATAGATATTCCGTTCGTTTCGCCCTTTTTTATGTGCAGCTGTATGAATCACTCGAAGTGTGTATTGATATGATTTTGTGTGTTGTTGTTGCTGTTGTCGAGATGCGAATAACACGCGCGAGAAGCATTCGAACAAATAATGACTTTTTTGCTTCTCTCACACTCTTGCCTTGTTTTTTTTTGGTTCAGGTAAAAGGTAATTTAACGCACTTCCACCTCGATGTGCGCTGAATTCATAAGTCGATGCTCATCTCGTTTAGCACTTAATGGAAAAATATTGTAAATTAAATTTTCTTCCTTGCGAAAGTAAAGTCATCATAGCATCCATTTCGCGTTTTTGTCTCATTTTTCTTCTTCTTTCGGTTGCCTCCGCTGCTGCTGCCACTGCTTCTTCCTTTTCTTCTTTTGACAGTGCATGCTAACTTTGTCTTTTTCCAAGAGAAGTTCACGAAAAATGCGTCCAAAACAGAGCGAAAGAGACAGATAGTGAAATCTTATCTTCATCGCTGTGTCAGGGAATCTCATTCTCGTATTTCGATAGAACATAGCAAGCGAAGAATACCTTTTACTGGCGCTGATGATGTTCCTCCAAATGGATTTTGATTAAATTCATAAAGGCAAACACTTGTGAAATTTCACATTGTGAAGGAGACGAAAGCTGCTGCTGCGTTCGTCGTTCTTCGTTCACTCGACCCATCTTTATGGATGATGGAGAAAACCACATGCATTAAATATTTATATAATATCGGTGGGCAATTAAAGAAAAAGGCGAAAAATGGATGCGGGAACAGTGGTAGAGGGAGCAACAAAAAAAAAATGTATATTCCAAGAGCTCATGCATAAAATGCGGTTCATGTATAATTATAATATTCAAAATATAATCCGTTTGAGCAAGAAATCGACTCTGAAAATTTAATCAAATGAAATTGAATTGGTTTGGGTTCAGTTCAGTTCGGTTGGATGTGTTTCATTTTGCCAATGTTGTTCGTCGTTGTTGTTGGTGTTGCCAATCGACAGGCATGAGCCCGAGCGAGACAGCAAAGCTCCGGTGCAAATTAGCGAATAAAAGTAATAAGTGGATAAAAATGCCGTTAATCGACACAGCCAACCATTCAGTAATAGCGTTTTAAAAATGCTCTCCACTCTCATGTTTACTCGCCAAATGTTGATTCAATCACTGGCTCGGAATTTTCTAGTGGCGGCTGCCATCGAATACACAGCAGTTAAATGAAGTATACTTGAATGCAAAAAGTATTGAAAAAAAAGCATGACATCGAGTTAATCCAAATATTAGGGGGGCGGGAGGCAACAGCATTAAAAAACGAACAAAAAGACGGTAATATGTACATGGGCAGCTACAGAAAAAAACAAACACACACGTACATAAATACTAAACTGCAATTGGGACTCGAGTAAACAACGTTTAAAATGAAAATGTGCAATAGTCTTTTCAAGTGCAAATTGTATCTCACGATTCGCAACTAATAAAATTATTAGACGTGACGAATGAATCGGACACACATATTATACAGAGATAAAACGGCCATTTGGCTTTTTCATAATGGCGTCATGCGTATGTAATAAAACCATGCTTCAAAGATGCAAACAGACACGAGCGTGATAGCGGGAGAGCGAGAACGACAGAACGTGTGAAAAAAGTGTATGCGGCACAAAAATACTGCATAAATATTTGCGAATAGTTATGGTGTGTGCAAAATATAGATTCATTCGTTTCAGGTGTAATATTTGGATCGTAACCGTTAGCCATTTTTTTTCCGCTGCTAGTTTGGAGAGTTCGCGTTTTTTTATCTCTCTCTCTCTCTCTCTCTCTCTCTCTCTCTCTCTCTCTCTCTCTGCATCCGCATACGTACACTTTAATAAATCAATCGACTCTGAATGGCCAAAACGGATGGGATAATTCATGAATATGAAAACATTTTTGCTCTTCGTTAAACCCCAATTTCAGTCAATTTGGTAAATAGCTGATGTGGGCGACGATCGTTATTATGAATTAAAAATTATTGCCGATGCACATAATATGCAGCGGCGACCAGATGGTGTGTGTGTGTGTGTGTGTGTGTGTATGTGCGCTTGACTCACGCCATCCTGGTGTTTGTGATGATGATTATGCGATGAAAAACGTGCTCACCGGTCGTTTGGTTGGTCTTTCATTCGACACTTTTCTTTATCGGTCGCTTTTCCATTTTGCCCCGTTTCATTCTCGTTCATTCTCGTTCATTTTCGGATAGATTGTTTGACACACAATACTAGTCATTTGCAATTATGGGCTGCCTATTCAAGTGACGACGACAGCAACAGCGACGACACCAGCGGCTGCAAATGCATTTCACAGCAACTCAAGATTTTCCCTCTTGCAGCCACTTCAAATATTTAAAAGTCACCCTCATTATTGCGATTGGTTATTATTTAAACACTTGAAATTGTTTCATTCTCTCTTTTTCTCTTCGTTCGCCACACATTTTCGTCCATCTTTCGTTCGACCGACCGAACGAGACCTCTTAAATTGCGGCACGGGAACACAAAAGAGAAATAATAAGTGCATTTTATTAGGTTGAAGTTCATTTATTACGTTTAATAATAATCAGGCAAATGGTTTGTGCCATGCCATTTTGGATGGATCGTGTGTGTGAGTGTGTTGGTTGGTTGTTTGGGTCGAAATAGCATTCTGATGGGCATTTCTTTCTTTAATTTTTTGTTCCATTTTGTGTCCGTTGCAATCCTCGATGTTGTTGTAACTAAATTCACTCAACGGATGTAATGAAATAGCAGTCAAGTCAATCTTCTGGAATTGTTCGCATTTTGTTAGTTGTCGTTTCCCATTTGGAAAACATAAAACACAAAATGAGTGAAATTTGTAAGTAAATTAGTCCAGCAAGCGGGTTTTCGGCGTTAAACACACTGCAGATGTCAAATTCTTGCCCGAATTCTATTCATGCTGTGTTTGCATTTGTGGAATTTTTGTTTGAGTTACAGGACACAATGTTCGACACAAATGCATGGTAAAGAGATAGAACAAGGAAGATCGAAGTGAAAGAGAGATAGAGATAGAGTCGTGTTTTGCGCCGAACCATGTACATTGAATGAACAACACACAAAACATGCCGCCGACGATGATGACGACACGACAACGACAAAAACGAGAAGAGAACAGAACCAAACAGGCGAAACCCACAGACATGACAATTTCTAAAGGAATGCCAAAACGCTATATATGCTGCATTGAAGCCTCATAAAAACACGACGCACGATTGGGCCAAAGAAAACGAAAATGATATAACTAAACTATACCTGATGCCACAGAAAGCTTATGCCTAAGAATTGTCGATCGTTTTTTGTTCACTCTTTTTCGCTGGCATTCAACGATAAAATTTATTTCGTTCGCCTCTGACTGAAGAAGATTCGGTCGTCGCTTTTGCGGCTGCCGCCACCACCGCTGCTTCTGAAACTTACAGTTGGCCTCCTTTCCTTATGCTCATCTCAAGTTAATAAATCTATGACCTTTTCAGTGTAATGTTACAATGAGCAAAATAAATTCAGCGAACGAGAAATGCTCGGCATTTCAAACAAAAAGTCGAAACCTAAAAACCTATTCAAATGTTTCGAATTTTTTTTTCGCTCCTTTCTCTCTTGTGTGTTGCCTTTTTGCCATTGTCCGTTTTTTTTCTTTCTGATTTTTGGCTTTTGTGCGCGCTCACTCTTTTGCTCGCTTTCGTCTATTTTATTCATATTTTTTTTTGTTTTTTCTTTTCTTCGTCTGTATGTACTATATTATAGTGAAAATATATTTGAGCTCATCCGATTCGACGAATCGGGCATTTGAAAAATAATAAAATGTCACCGTTCCAATCGATTCATTGTATTTGTTGTCGCGTTGCTTCGTTAAGCAAATGTTACCAGTTATCCTCGGAACTCGATTGTCAATTCCGCTTGCTCGCTTAGTCACCCGCTCTGCGTCGACATTGTATTCTGTCGCTCTCTCTCTCTCTCTCTCTCTCTCTCTCATCCGCTAAAAATATATTTATTTACTCGATGCATGGCAAAGGGAAAATGAGCTCACACACAATTCGCAAAAAAGGCGAAATTCGGTATCGAAACACGGTGAATCTGAAAATGAACGGGAAAAACCACTTACGCGTTACATGCGTAGTTCAGCATTTGATTGACTATGTAAAAATAAACCGCACATTCCGAGCACATTTGCTTGATATCCGAAGTACAAGCATTAGATTATCAGAAGTGAATAGCGAGCGGAACAGGATCGATTGAATGAGAAAATGAGTGAAAGAGTGATAGGGATAGGGATAGAGACAGCAGAATTTGTGTAGAGCTTCCAATCTAAGGGACCGTTACGTATCGGAATCGAAATCAAAATCGAAATTGATGTATTATGTTGAAGCTGCCCTCCAGTACCGAAACTGTTTGCCAAAACTAAATTACATGACTGCCATAGAATATTGGCTGAGTTTCGGCACCAGTGCTCCATTGGATTTTTCGCCATTTTTACTGCATGGTAATATGATAGAGGCACAACGACAAAGTAAAATGGGAATAGAGATATAGAGCATGTGTGCATTCCAAATACTATATCAAAGAAGAAGAAGAAGAAGGAGGAGGAGAAGATCACTCATGCTGAGTACATTTTGTGTGTCGTGTACAAAAAATGCCATAAAATTTTTATTATGTTCCTTGCATCTTGGGTTATCAGTTTCGCACAAGATATATGATATTGAGAGTCACATTGATATGGGCGACCGCACAACTCGACAACACAACAAATGGGTTATTTAGCAATTTTAATCGCTCCCCTTTTCGAACCGAAATCCAAAGAGAGAATACGAGCGCCACACTATATACATACACACATTTCTATCTATGTTGTGCTCTGCTTCGGTGTTATCAAAATGCAACGCATTCCTTACGGAACAAATGAGAGAAAATCGACGCTTCGAAAACGAGCGAACAAGCGAACGAATGAAACGTTTATTTGGCATCCGTAAGCAATACAGCAACTATTCGGTCTTTCGCTCTCAATGCGCGTGAAATGCTTAACATGCACGTGAAAATGTGTGAACATCCACAGTATAAATAATAAAATTATTTTCACAGTGCATTCGTTTCGCATCAAATCCGACCAGGGTTGCGTGGCAACATCTTTTGCCGTACATGTAATAAAATCACTTGTTTCGATAGAATGGCAGCAGCCAGTGTTTGTAGAGCAAACAACACCACAACTATTGAGCTGTGCTTCGCTCTGTTATATAATTTTCACATAATATTTTTTCTATCTCTCTCTCTCTCACTCCCGCAGTCATTGCTTGTTTTGGTGCTATTGTTGTTGCTTGGCTTCCGAGCGTTTCGAGCAAAAGTGCGAAAAATCACAAATTGCACAAACGAGACAAAAAATGCAAATGAATGTTGAAAAGAAGCAGAAATGCATTTAAAATACTTTAAATTTGAATAAATTCTGAAATTGTATTCGAAGCACTCCATCATTTCAAGTGTAACGTTCAATTTTATTTTATTTTAATTTATTTCGTTTTTTCAAAACTATGTTTGTTCAACCGTTGCGCTGCAACTCATTCGCATCCTATAACTCGCGTGCCCGCTGCATTTTCGCTTCGATAGAATTTTACTCGCAATTCACGATGTGTTAATTTGTGTCTCTATCTCTGGTTTTGTTCGCATCGTTTGCTAGCGAAACGGTGTTTTTTTTTCTGTTCGTTTCGTTTTGCCTCTCCTCTCGTTTTGTCGTCGATTTTTGGTGAGACTGACTTTAATTAGATTTGTTACGTTGTTTCTTTTTCCATTTAAAATTGTGAAAAGTGTTCGTTCAAATGCTTTCAATGAATGACACTCTTCACATCGATACACACCATCGTGCAACAGCAGTAGCATCATGCATTTGGTTGTTGGCATGGAACGTTCTTCTATTCGGATAGCGCAACTGATGTGACGTTGCGCTGCGCATGCCCACACCTTGCCTGTTGTAACACTCTCTTTCTCTCGCTTGTCACAACAAAAATTTCATATTTTATTTTTGGCCATTTGAGTCTCGCCTGTAGATACGATTGCAAATCAAGTAGTTTTCTAGTGTCCACGAAAGAGGTGCATAAAGCAATAACTATTTCATTAATTAATTTTTAATTTGAAAAAACACTTTTTATTTTTCGACACGTCCGAAGAAAAAAGTTTAGTCAAGTTTAAACAAGTCTGGTGTGTTTTTTTCCAATTCAATTAAATAATAGAACAAAAAAGTGCAGCGCGATTTTTGCCATTCAAAACTGAATGATTCTACATTGTTTTTGTTCAACCAAACATCACAATTTATCTATTGGTGTAGCCCGTGCAAACAGAATGAAAATTTTACCATTTTTTTTTCTGTCGGTCCGAATTTAATTTGCTTTGTGTGCAATGTGCATTTGTTCAATTCCAATTAAAAAGCGAAAACTTGTGGCGGCTAATCTCCATTGTGGGTCGATGTGATTCCCAGTGAAATACGACAAATCAATACACAGATGTCAAGCGCATAAAAATCACAACTTTTACATTGTTTGCTCTATGTTGATCCGAATTCTCTTGTTTGTTCTAACTTTTCCTATTCAACAATGAAATCTCTGCCCGAAAGGGAAGACGATGACAACGACGATAACAAAAAATGCCACAGAAATTATGTAAAATGTGTGGCCAGGTGCTGTTTTAGTAGTATTTGGGACAAGAGACTTTCATAAACTATGATTTTTTTTAGATCGACTTTACACACATACATACACTCACAACTTTTTCCATTGCACCATTCGCTGGTGACAGTGTATGTGTGTATGTGTGGTAGACTGTGTGGCAAAATAGACATCGATGACATTCGACATTCGCCTGCTTCTGCACCTGGTCAATTGATTTATTTTTATCTTTTGTATGTGGCACACGACAATACATCCCGAGCAGATTAAACGTAGATAAAGAGAAAAGATCAACTTGAAACTAAGAAAAATTGAACCAAAAAAAAAAAACAAACAAACAACCTCAAGAGAATTTGACAGCATATTTATCGTTCCCGTTTTCTTTTTCCGTTCTTTTTTTTACTCTGTTTAGGTTGTAACACCGCAAAAGTGTGGCGACGTGTATTTATATGATCTCTTGCCGAAAACACCGAACCGTTTAAGCAGTCCGTACCAAAATTTATCGACAATGTCTGATTCGGAAACGTATGACACGCCACGGCCCACACAAAGCATGAACTATGATTCACCGCGTCCCTGGAGTCGAACATCACAGTTAAGTGGCCGTTTGGAGGAGTCTTACGATGTGCCACGGTCAGTATCGATGCTGTCACAGAACATGCTTGGTGTCACACCAAGCAGCTCGAATTCGTCGTTGTTATTAACACCAGACAGCCACAGTATGTCGTCGTCCAATCGTTCGTCATTGGCCAATATGCCCGACTATGATATACCGCGTCGGTTCCCTGGTGCTATTCGACCAGGTAGCTCATTGACGCCCACATCATCGCTTCATTTCCAAAGTACTTATGACATTCCCGTTTCGAATCAACCAAAAGTGGTCGCGATCAAAGAGCTGCCATTGGAATTGTCGTCAGCCCTAGAAACTCTTGCCAAATTAGAAAGCGAAGCAACGGGAGCCATAAACAAGTGAGTTAATGCCAAAGAAAAACACATTGGAAACTTTTCCCATCGAAAGAATTTAATAAAATTGAATACTTTATACTAAAACCAAAATCCATTGTCTTTTGCAGATTGCTCGGATTCGTATCGCCACATTGGCGCACCAAAGAGAAATTAGAACCAATGATTATGGATATAAAGTTGGCAGCTGTGCGCTTGCGAACGGTGTTACACGATTTGGCCGAGTTTGGTGAGGGTGCATTGGGCAATGCATCGAAAGCCGATGACAAAAGGCTTGCCGTGAAATTGCGACCATTAGTAAAAGCACTACGAGATGCTGATAAACTGGTGCACGAAGTTTTGCAAAACATCGATTTGCACGGATGGACCCTGGAAACATTGGCCAAAGAAGATCCGAAACACAACAAACCTGGCGATAATTTGAATCAATTGATTGCGTGTGCGCAAACATTGACCGAAGATGTGCGTCAAATCACATCGTTCATTCAAGGAAATGCAACGCTTCTGTTCAAACGGAGTTTAACGCAAACCAATGGCTCGTCCAACAACAACAACAACAACAACAACAATGGTGGGAATCAAGCCGAATGGCTTGAAGACTACGATTACGTGAGTTTGGAATCGAAAGAGCAATCGGCCAAAACAAATGCCGAACTACGCGATGCATTGCCCCAAGATTTGCGCACCAATTTCGATACTGCAATGCAAAGTGCCGAATCGGCGGCCATTTCGAACAGTGACAAGACTGAATTGAATCCCAACGATAAATCACTGCTCACCTACTATGCATCACAAACCGTAACGCACATGAAGTATCTAACGCAAGCCATCGATGCATTCTTGCAAACCGTCGAACGAAATCAACCACCGAAATTTTTCCTCGCCTATGGGAAATTCGTTGTACTCAGCGCACACAATCTCGTTGCTATCGGTGATATTGTGCATCGTAATCTATCGAAACAGGATGTAAAACGACGCGTTTTAGAGTATGCCGATTCGTTGTCCGATGCCCTGAAAACGTGCGTCACCAAAACGAAAAAAGCCGCACAACATTTCCCAAGTGTAACGGCCGTTCAAGAAATGGTCGATTCCATCGTAGATATCTCACATTTGGCATATAATTTAAAAATATCAATGCTACAAGCAATTAGCCAATGAACCACTTTTTTATACAATCTAAAATATTTGTAATATTCCAAAGCGCGAATAAAATAAACGATTATTGTGAATGTCTACATTTATACGAAATTTTCATAACATAAATGAAATTTGTAACATTTTTCGAAAATACGTTCATACAATTGGAAAATGGCATAAATACGGCTAAATTATTCCGTTATATACAATCATACAAAATACACTATGCTACTTTAATCGATGTGATAATTAAATTTTACGAACGAATCTATTCGGTCGGTATGTGGAATGGTAGAGCGTATAAATTGAATTCCAATCGTAAGAGACAAAAAGACGGATAAAAGCGTAATTCATTACGGCTAATTGATATCCATAAACGAAAGTCATTCCCGAAACTCTTCGTCCCCCAATACGCTTCCGTTTCATCGAAAAAAAAAAGAATAACAGAACGTAGTTGTAGCCATCGCTCAATGAAAACGAAGAATAAAATTTAATTTAAGAAATAACAGAAATGGTTTAATTTGAATTGCATTGCCAAAAATTTCAGAAGCTAAACATAGTTTGGGGCCGCATATCTACATATATATACATGAATTGCATAATACGTCCAAAACATTTTGCAACGAGCAAACCATCTCTGTGTGTGTCGCTGTGTCGCCCCTTTTTAAATGGAAAATTATCTTGTCAGAAAATGGATTTTCACTACTATTACGAATGTAAATATATATAAAATATAATTAAAAACAAACTCTGTGTTTCACTTCTTGGCTCAATGTTTTTCTTTGTTTCCTAGTGGAATGGTTGAATGAATTCCAAGCCAAAATGAGTAGTTGCTGCTGTTGCTGAGTAAGAGGAAAAAAAACAAACAAAATTCCTTACTCTTCTTCTTTTTTTCTTCTCTTTTTTTCGAAACTTTTATTTAAATTCATATTTATCCGCAATTTTTAATCATTTGTAGCATTTTACAATCTAGGTGGAGAGCAAAAAAAAAGGAAAAATGGTACAAGAAAAGTGCTAAGAAAACACAGTTGATTTTTGGTATATCAATAAATGAAAAAAAAAATATATGAAGAAAATCCTTGCTGCACGCTAGATTTCGTGCACAGACCAAAACGCAAAACTTTAACGAATATTCTTAATTAGGAGAAATAAAAACATGGAATACACAAGTTCCTTGCCAAGTTTCTGCTAATGCAGCATTTAACGGGGGATACACTGGATGAGTTCAACGCGAAAAGCCTAAACAAAGAAAAACAATAACTATGGATGCAGCCGTAAACGAAGATAGATAGAAAAAGGAGTAAGCTAGAGAGTGTATGATGCGGTGTATTGCTGTTGCTGCTACTACTGCTGATGCCGCTGTTGTTGTTATTGTTGCTATTTTATTCGCACTCCAATTTTGCTGCTCCTTTTTCCAGCTCGTCCACGCTCACCGGCTCCGACAGTATTACTTGGTATCGAATTCGCTTGTTTTTGAAGTAACTATAGGAATTATCGAAAACTACCACATCTGTGTCCGTCGGAAGAGAAAGAGACCGAGAGAGAATAAAAGGGAAAATTATAAGCATGGTTTGATTTCGGTTGCATTTTGTAATGCAAACAATATCATTTGTAATCCTCACAGGTCCAATCCGGTTGACACGCAATATAGCCTTCCTCATCAAGCTGGTGCGAGGCCACACGTTTCATATCGACTTCGATATTCTCTTCGCCCGTTTGCTCATTAATCCTCTTGATACCGAATCGGATGTCGTGATCGAACGTTCGGAATTCCCACCTTGAAGCGAGAGACAAATAAAAAAAAAAGAACAAACACACCGAGACGTAAATTTTTTGTACGTTGTTTTTAGTCATCGATTTATTTGCTTTTGACCGCAAAGGCGCGCGCGCGCGCATACACAGAGAAGATAAAAACAAAGAAGATGAAACTACTACATGAAATGAATGATGAATAGTTGACATTGTCACAAATACTCACTTGAGGGCACATCCAGCGTCCTTACATTTAAATTCCAATTTGATTTTCGAACCTTTTTTTATCATCGTATCGACGAAATCCTCATTGTTATTGTCTTTTTCATCGCGCATTATATAGAGTTCCTTCGGCACCTTACCACCCCAATTTACCTACGAGAATTTCAATGCAATATCGTTTTTTTTTCATCAAATTTTTCTTTTTCATATCGAATTCCGATTTTCCATTTTTTTTTGCCTTTGCCTCAAAGTTTTCTCTTTTTTTGTGTGGCTCGTGCTCTAGTGATATTTAATTTTTATTTTACCTTATGCATACACTTTGGATCTCCGTCCTCATCAGTTTGAGTGCCACCGAAATACTTGGGTATTTGTGATGGATCGACGTGTTCCAACATTTTTGGCAACCATTTTTTTGAATCTTGCTTGAAAATGAGAATTTTACCCAACGTATACTCGTCCAAAAAGCGCTTCACAATATTGAACACGATGGCAAATACCTTAGGCACTTTTGGGTTATAAAATAGAATAATGTAAAATTGGTTTCTTAACCGTTTCATGCCGAATGAAAGAGATAGATGGGTAGAGAGAGAGATGGAGACAAGGGGAGTATGTGTGTAAGAGAGAGAGAGAGAGAGAGAGAGAGAGAGAGAGAGAGAAAGGCGATGGGTATAGGAAATGGCATCATGTGCATACCGTTGATGATGTAGCAACATTTCAGGATTTCCGGATAGTTTGCTTCGTAGCTTTTGATGAGGGATATGACCACTTCAGCAGCTATAGTCGACAACGTGGGTGAGAGCAAGAGCGAGAACAAGAGAAAGAGAGAGAGAGTGTACGAAAATTTATATGTCGTAATAAAAGGTGTGTAAATAATTGTGCATCACAATCTGTGAGATCATAAAAATGACAATAAAATTCACTATCGTGTTTAACTCACCTGGCCTCCATGTATACTGTTTCACATTAAATCCGGCCATATCGAATAGAACGACAAACTGCCTTGCCTGCGGCCCGTGTTTGACACTTTGTTCGAACGCCAGTTTCATATACGTTTCCAACGTTTTAATAGTTGATCGAATAAAATCGGCTCGGGACACCGTATGCAGCATTCCCCACATATCCATGCCAGCAAATGGCACCACGATTACTGTGAGTTCGATTTATTTCATTTTTTTTGGTCGGTCGGCAGACGGAAACGTTGAAGCATGCAATGTAAAACAGAGAACAGAAACGAAAGTACGAAGAAAAATTGGTGCGTTAGTTTTGACATTGAGTGAAAATAAAACATTGGCTAAATTACTTGGTGATCCTTCTTTATCGAAACCACTGATTCCATGCGGACTGTAGTCGGCTAATGGTTGGGGTGTTTTCCAATCCAAAATATTATCCACATTCCATCGCTCTCTCCATTTCATCGACTGAAAATAAGCGATAAAATTTATTACGTGCTGGCATTTTCCGAATTTAAGACTATATTTTTTTTTTGCTCTCTCTATCCGTATGCTGTAATGTATTTTATATGGAAATAAAAGTGGAATTACTTCACGAAGCATTTTTTCAGCTGCATTTGCATCCCAATTCCGTGCTAAAATGAAATGTAATGTATTAGTCATTTTCTAATAGACGAAAGATGAAGAAAAAACACATGCAAAAATTCTACCGTTGAATGAACTGTATGTGAATACGCTTACCATTGAGCCATCTTATCAAGTAAAAGTCATCGTGTTCAGGTTTTGTGATATCCGCTACAGTCCTTCGAAACTGGAAAAATGCACACACAAAAAAAGCAGTTAATGCCCCATTAAAAAGAACATTGTCAATTGTTTTGAATGTGACCTTCAACTTAAAAGCTATACAATGCAGAAAAAAAATGAATATTTTCAAAACCAATTTTGTGGACAGATTCATATGACATAGTTCATATGGTTGTTTTTTTTTCTGTTGCGGCACACAATGAAAAATGAATAACACACAACAAGATTTGCGATGAATATAACTTTATGTCTATAGATCAAACAGCAGCCACACATTAATTGTATATTCATTACGTTAATCGTCAATTAAAACCGGTTATCCGTGATTTAAGCAAATTCCCCCGAACTGTCATCGGTTCTTCACATTTCAACGATTAGAATGTGAAATCTCGATCGATGCTGACGACAAAAAAAAATAAAGATAACATTATTATATTGAAACTCATTAAATCGAGTTACGCCGATAAAGAAGATGCACTTGAACTGAACCGTGCACACGAAATTCGAACAAGGTATCCGTGTGAAATCGCAAAAAAAAAGCAAAAACTACTACAACAACAACAGCAGAAAAACGATGCACTCGTTGTGTGTTTTTTTGCGCAAAGTTTGCGGAAAACTCGGCGGAACTTAACTTTTTAACAAGCGCACACAATATGAAATTACTATAATTAAAATTGTTTCGTGTAAAGTATTTTTCGTTTTATTCATCTTCTTATAGTGAAAAACTCATGCTAGGTAATATCGACGGGCGATTAAAAATCAATGCTTCACTTTGCATTTTTGTCAGTCAGACGCAGAGCAAAACACAAATAGATTTATCTGTGGAAAGTGAGATGAAAAAAAATGTTTTTATATATTCTAGGAGCGTGTTTTTTCTTTTAGTATCAGACTGATACAATGTGGATACATTGTATATGCGAGAGGAAAATTGGTTTTAAATGAATCAAAATTGGATAAATACATTCGAAAACAAGAAAAAAAAAACGAGATCAAGAGCATTCGATTTACTGAAAGTTGTACTGATAACATCAATTGCATCTGACCGTTATAAAAAGATTATAATCTGATCCATTTAGTTTTTTGACTTGTTGTTGTTGCTGATTGTGCCAGTCTGAGTCTGTCATGTACATATATTGAATTCTTCAGAGAGTTGGTGAAAATCAATTTAATTGGTTGGTACAAGGGACGAACAAAAAAAAAATGATGGAAAATTTGATAGTGTTTTTTTATTCCCTGTCTATCTCATAACAATGAACACCCCATGAAGGTTTTTGTTTCGATGTTTTCGATTTGACTATTTAATTCAATAACAAATTAATGGAAAACGAAATTAAATGAAAAGAATGTTGCAATTTGTTAAAATATGATTTGCGATGTGAATTAATTGTGAATATGAATAACAGTTATAATTTGAAACAAAACTTTCACGACCATGACAAAAACGAATATTGAACGAGAAAAAAAAGAGCAGCAAATACAACCACATCAACAGAGTCGGATTGAGTTGAGTTGAAATGCGTGGAGTGCAGTGACTGTAAACAATGGACAAGAATTAACATTCAATTGAAAGACAAAAATCGAAAAGTTGCTTGCCGTTGCAGCAACGTTTGTAGTCAAAAGTGTAAATTGGCAGCATTCGTTACCAGTTGAAAATGGAAAATTGGACAAAAAACAAAAAAAAAACGTCATCAGCAACTTTTCAACCGCACCATGCATATACATTACACACATGCATAAAAAGTTATCCGAAAAAAAAAACAAAAGGGAGATTGCCTTATGAATTCATTCACGCAACCGAGACAACCGAGACATGGATTTTATATTTGCACAACCGCTAAAAGAATTAACTATGCAAATTGCATTTGGAGGTGATTGTTGATTTGATGTCGACGGAAAATTTTGAATAAATTTCCAACCGTCCTGCTTTCATTACCGACCAACTGTAATTGATGTAATAACTATGCGATGCGAAATCTCAATTGAAACAAAACCTGACGATTATGTTTGTGTCTGATTGTATGTGACGCGCTCGTGTTTTTTTTTCTCTCTCTCTCTCTCTCTCTCTCTCTCTCTCTCTCTTTCTCTCTCTCTCTCTCTCTCTCGGTTGTCTTGAAATTGTCTGCACCCATTGTTTCGACGCAAACAGCTACACTAGATAATTAGATTTTGTGCGAGTGAGTGCATCTTTGCTCTCTGATGATTGTGTGCCGTGTAGAAAATGCTAATTTTTTGCGTAGCTGCAAAACGTCAGCCGTATCATTAAATGAATGGGATCAACAGCCAATGGCAAAGAAATGAAAATGAAACACAACGGAGACGAAAGCAAAACATGAAGAAAAATACACTCAAATTTACTACACTAACGATGTATACGGTGTTGTGTTGTTATTTTTGGGGTTCAGTTGTTTTGGATGAGACTGCGGTTTGGCAAAAAAAAGTCAAGCTCAAGGTCGTTCGCCGCTCGTACATTCATTTAACTTCTTCAATTCGACAAACTTTCGTCATTCTATATAATAATTCAATTATAATATTTTTTTGTTTCTGTTCCCCCCCGTTTGGCAGCATTGTTTTTACGGTGCTCTCATTACATAGCCACGGGCGATTGTTTAGTAGCGGGGATTCCCTCTCTCTGTCTCTATCAATCTTCTTCTCGTTCTTGTTCTTGTTCTTCTTCTTGTTCTTCTTCTTCTTCTTCTAAGCATCCATATTTTTATTGTGATGTGTGCGCGCGAGCGCGTTCTTCTTTCGGCTCGGTTCAATGTGAAATTCAAATCACATTTACATATATTAATTTGCGTACAGAATTATCGTCGATTTGTTGAAATTTTCTGTAAATTCACGTTTCAGCTCAGGCACAATTTGACAAAAGCAGATCTTGTCTTTTGCAAGCAAGCAGCAAAAAAAAAAGATATAGAATCATGTTTCGTATTCACAATATTCGTGTGTCATTTGATTCAACCAATTATTTCAACCGTCGAAATGTGCTCGTAGCGTTATTTTATTACAAAATTGTATTTTATGTGTTTAGTACCCATATAGGTACGTAGCATTTATTTTGATTCCTTGTTTCTCTTCCAACAGAATGTTTATGTTTACAATGCGTGTAATATCTTCAATTGAAAACATCATTTCCTCAAATTACTTTAATCTCTTTGGTCGTCGTCGTCTCCGTCTTCTGCCTCGGCAATCATTCATTCGTTCGTTTCATATCGTTCGTTCGTTCATTGAATTGTTTGTTGCCGTGGTTGCGGTTACACAAAAAGCATTTAGCTGCTTTTGGTTTCGCTTTTTAAACGGTGCCAAATTGAACGGATTTGAAACTTTTGTCTGCAATTCAACCGACTGAATTGTATTGAATGACATTGACACTGGAGTACTGCTCTGTGTAACAGCGGCATAGCACGAGATGGAAAATACATTCTGTACATTATAATTCAACCGTTAAATTTACCTCATAATTTTGGTTTTGTTTGCGCTAATATATCGCACATAATAAATTGCATAAGTGAAACACGAATTCAATGTGCCCCGTTACATACAGACGTACACAACCGAGACGATGTCTGCTTATGAAATGATGTGTAAATCTAGTCGCATTTCGACTTGGCTTGACTAGATGAGCACAGCCAATGCCACACACACCGCATATGATATAAAATTAAATATATATTTATGAACTCGGTGTTTACATTTCCAATGAAATTGAAAACACACTTCTACGCAAATGAACATTTGGGCAATAAATTTTATTCGATTTTTCGGATGAACTTGAACATACATTAATGTTGTTATTCTTTTTTTTCTCTCTACGCGTTTTTTGCATTTGCGAAGAACAATCAGTTTTCATGTTCATTTACTGCTGTTGCTGCAGCAGTTGTGTGCAAGTGGCCAGTTGTTTGGTTTATGACCGTTATGCGTCAGACAATTACTTAGCGTCATTAATTTTTGAGTGGATTTGTGGCCAGCATACCAAATTTATACATGTTGAATGACTATGGCTATCAATGACTCTCTTGCTGTCGGTATATGTTTGTTTCCTCGGTGAATGCACGTCATCGCGCAGCATTTTCCGTTTCGTTCGTTTTTTTTTTCATTTGCAATAAAAAAAGTTTATGTGTTTTTTGAAATTAAAAGTGGTAATAATTCTTAGCTGACAAAGAATATCGTGTAATCAGTACACATAGTAGTAACTGACCCCTTTTGAATAAACATTGTTTTGATGATAAAATGCTAATTTCATTTGCGCGGCGCGCTCTCGTGCTTCCACGTTGCCAGCGACTAATAAGCACGAGTCAAAGGTACAGGGTTGTTTGAGATATAAATCATGGCATGAAAAATATTCGCTAGACTTTAAATTCTGAATCATCCCGCTGATTATTACTCGTAACTTCGTAACTCTTCTTTTTTTTCCCTTGTCGTCTTCGTTGTTGTTGTCGCAAATCCACTCACTCTCAGTTACACTTGTGCGACACCAACAACAAAACAAGCCTGTCTCTTCGAGGACAGGATTCTAAACGTGTAACAATTACTGTTATCTCAACAAAAATAAACTTTTACCAAATGGTTTCCGGTGATGCTTTGGTTCATTTTTCAGCCCATTTCCGTCGCCCATTGTATTTCAAAAATGAGCTGAACATTGAAAGTTCATGCAAACTTTTTAATTATACGTCGCGCGCGCTAGAGAGATATAGCATTCAAAATATGGTGAAAGAACTGAGAAATGAGTGAGGAGTGAGTGAGTGTGAAAGAGAGAGAGAGAGAGAGAGACGGGAAACAATCAAAGTGTGTGTGAGTGTGCTGGTTTAAAACTGATTTCAACCAATGTTTTCATAGCTAATTAATGGTTCAACGAGTACAAAGAAGAAATTGCAACCGGCGCAAGAGTTCTCAACGACCGAATGCCAGCGACGGCGAAGAATTTCCACACCGCGCTATTCTCATCTATTCAATTCTCAACGCTCCTCTACTCATATTCACATCAAAAAAAGTTAATTAATTCAGACATTTATCTATATTCACTCTGTTTCTGTCGGTTTCTTTTGGGGTCTTTCTCTCGCTGGTTTTGAAAAATGCAGCTGGGAAAATGCGAGTAACGAGAGTCTAAATATAGTAAAGCGCGCCTGGATTTCCATGGAGCCGTGCATAACTTTGTGAATTTTAATTAGACAATAATCGCACACACTCTCACTTACTCTCTCTCCCTCGCACATTTTCGAATGAATGCGCACAGTGCCATCGATTTAAATTGCCATGGATGATGCCGTGGGACGGTCGACACATCGTGTGCATTCTGTTGCTGGTGCAACACATCGTACACTCAACTAAGCATCTGTGTACTCCTGCTAATTAGGAGTGAATTTTCAGTTGCATTCATTTAAAATTCCAGTCTCTGCTTGCACACACTCTGCACAGGCTACGTGCCATTGCCTCTCTGCTAAGCTGGATTTACTTGTTTTTCTATATTCTTAACCAGAACTATTAATTTTTTTTCTTTCTATTTTTATCCACGATTTAGAATCGTTTAGGGTGCGGTTGATTATTTGCAGCGAGCATGATTGGAAAATACTTTGCAATAATATTACGGAATATTACGTTGCAAATAGCACAGTGGACATTGTCATTATCATCGATCAATTGATATGATTGTGTCAAATGAATCAAGATTTATTAAACATGATTAAAATTGCAAATTGAACGTGAAATTAAAAGTTTTTGAACACAAATTTAACTAACACACACATTAATGGGTCATTTCACAAACCGTTGAGAAAATACTTTTACTCTGACCTGAAATGGGCGAGTTGCACATTGTCAACGTGAAATTAAAAGTAAAAAGTTACTCAAAATGAAGGTAAGAATGGAATGAAAAAAACGTGTGACAACAGTTGTACGGCGTGAAATGCAGCTTGTGTGTGTGTGTGTTCGTTTGTTTCGGTTCGTCAATTGGTTAATTAAATGTGCACTTGATCGCATTGCTCCATAAAATTATAATCGGCTTTTTTTTCGAAAATTAGTATTAGGTTGCTTACGTCTGTGTCGTTTATGTGTAGTTGTTGGGTTTTTCTCTCTCTCTCTCTCTCTTTCTTCGTTTTACAAAACTAGAAAACGAGTCAGAAAACATGAGGATTACAAAATTACTGTGCGATGTATCTACTTGCATGCAACACTTGTGGAGGAATTATCGAATGCCAATTCGTTTTGTTTTTACTTGTGAGCATGCATTCAACAAACCAATTCGCCAATGCACACACATGCGAAATCCGACTAGTCGATTGCAACATAGCAGCAGCAGCAGCAGCAGCAGCAGCAGCAGCAGCAGCAGCAGCAGCAGTACTCGGCTCTTTACATTATATATAAATTTTTCGTTGTTTTTAATGTTTTAAACTTATGCATTAAATAAGGTCAAGAGTATAAGTGAATAGCAGATTTTTTTTGCGAAATTAAAATGCACTTTTACATTGATTTCAGCTTCGGAATTGTTTACATTTTATTATCGGATGGTAAAGCGCCGTCGTCGTCGTCACTAACGTCGTCGGTGCATTTATAATTTCTACAAAAAATGCCGTTGTTCTTTTTTTTTTACTCTAATGGAACAAGTGGCCCACAAAGCATTGAACAAATTGCGAGCAAATCCCTTAATTTCGTTTGATTTCGTGCGATTGTGGCGGCGGTGATAGTGAACGATTTTCATGATTAAAATTTCGATTTTGCCCCGCATTTTGTTCATCATTTTTTTTCCCTCTGTACAAATAAACACACCATCAAATTAACAGGCTTGAAAACGCAAAATTCTCTGTTGCAATGCTCAACAACAGCATTGAATGTGATTGAATGCTACGAAGAGCGAGCAAGAGATACTGGAGAAAGAGGGAGATGGAGAGGGAGAGAGAGAGAGAGTGATGTGTGAGAGAAGAATAACCGTAAACATTGATTACCAGCGTCGAAGTGGTGTATCACTTTTGCCCATTGTTTGATCATAAAATTACGTTGTGCACATTGCTCACCAACGAAATTACAAATAATTCATAACGATTGGTAAAGCAAACAAATTTGTCTATGGTTTAGCCGATTAACACCACCGGATTGAAACCTATTGTAGCTTCATTGCCTCTCATCATCATCATTCACCACTCTCACCGCCAATGCCGTTTTCTTCTTCTTTGGCCAAGAAAAAGAAATAACTCATCTTTCGGCGAAAAATAAAACACTTAAAAACACTTTTTGAGTTGCGTGCGATTAACAATTGCTACATTGAATGCGGCGAGTGTGTGTGTGTATGCTTTTTTAAGTAAACTTTTCATGACCGTGCGAACGATAATGGGCTTGTGATGAAATGATTTGGAAGAAATTTCACGTTTTCATTCAGTGAGTCCGACGATTTGAATTTTTCTATTTGATTTTCAATAACAATGTCGAATTTTTTGTTCGCTGTATAACTTATTTATATGTTTGATTCACTTTTTTTTTCGAAAGAAAGAAATAAATTATGATATAACCGCTGATTAAACACACTGTTTGTGTGAGAGCGCTGGCATGCAATTCAAAATCGATCAAGCGGTCGAGAACTCGTTATTTTTCTTATTCAAAATCCGGATTTCAAATGAAGAGAAAAAAGAATTGTATTGCAAATAATATTTCTGTTTTAGCACTCACCTTCATCAACGTAAATTTCTGGTCATCTTGTAGTGTTGGGGACTTTTTTTCCGGTGCCATTGTATTCCTGTGTTCCGTTGGAATGATTATTCAATTATGAAACTGATAATAAATTTTAATGCTTGGTCTTTTATTAAACACGCAGTTGCTTTATTTCTTCGTCGGTTTGAAAATCGTCGATCGAAATTTCGTCTTCGGCAGAATCGTTGTTTACACGTTTAAACGAAATCGACAGTGTCCAATGTATGGTAACAAATGACCGTTTCAATAACCTTTAATTTTTTTTTCGCCGCGTTCAATATTTATTGTTTGCACAACAATTTGTAACAAATGAACAATTGATGTGTGTGCGTGTTGATTTTGCAAATTCCAATGAAGAAGAAAAAAAAAGAATAGAAACGCGCCACACAATTCGTTTTGTTTGTGAAAAATGCTCGCGATCGCGTTAAATATGATTCATAAGCATAACTGCGATTTCACTTTCGACACGTTGAAAATGCACATTGAACGATTGACAGTCAACACGATATGTGTGGTTGTTTTTATCGTCGACAATTTTTTTTTTTTTTTTGGAAATATCGACACAAAAATTGTATGATCGTAGTGTCCACACTGCAATTATCCAACGGAAATGTACGGTATGATCGAAAACAATGATTTTAAAAAACTGCCCGAACTAATAACCCAACACAGCGTCAAACAATGTGCTCAACACATTGATAAAACAAGAACGATTCGTTGAATGCAAAAAAGTAAGAGTGATTCATCGGACGATAGCACTACGACTTCTAAACAGCAATCGAGACGATAAACAACTCTCCGAGTAGAAATCGAAAGAAAAAAATGCAATGCGACACCAGAATTAAGAGAAACAACCGCAGAAAAAAAAAGAACAACAACAAATGTATGATGCGACTTTTGTGTTTGCACTCCGTTTTAGCAAGCCAACCGATTTGATGCTCAGACTTAAACTGATCGAAAAGCTGACGAGAACGGCAACAACAACCGAATTGAGTGTGAGTAGAAACATAAAGCCACACGAGCCCACGAAGTATGTGTACAATTTGTATTCCAAACCACATGCATAAACCTGGTGTGTATGAGCCAGTGCGCGTAAGCTAAGTACTTGTGGTGCGCACTGTGCTGAGCTAAGTTCAATCAGGTGGCAGTGTGTATGGTGTGTATTGATTGCATGCTAAACTGAGAATACCTTAAATGCTAAACTGAAGCAATATAACCATCTTTATGGTATTGTGGTGAATGGCGTTGAACATCGCGTCCAAATTGAATTCGCCATAGTAAAAATCGTATGAATCGATGTCTGGGCTGAGAATCGTGCGCAAAAATTAACCATATAAATGTGGTGTTAACAAGCACCAAATGAATCTGGTTCGAATTAAAGAGGGAAAAAAATCAAATCTGACCAATAATGCAATGAAGGAAACCTTTCATCTGCATCAAACGACTCCGGAAAAACTGGCCAATCGAAGATAAGAGCAATGTTTTAAAGAGTCGAACGCCAAGATTGTTCATCATTATCAAGATTAATAATGAGCTAATAATTTCGATTCATGCATGAGCTATTCATAAATCACCTGTGTGTGCATCAGAAATGATAAATTCCCGCCGAAAGAGAGATACAGTAAGACACGACGCATGCACAGTTATCGCAGTGTTTTGAATTTTCGAATGCATCGACCTCTTAAGTGCTTCTAACGCGTTTAGACGATTCGGTAAAAAGTTTTTTTTTACCACAAAATCGAACGGCCAATTCACCTTGAAAGTCATATTATATTTTTTTTTAACTTGCGTAAAGCTGCACATATATAAATCGCTCGGCTCGTCTATCTGCTTCTTTTAAACACACACGCAATTTTTTTCTTTCTCTTTTCATTTTTCGTTGGCTTTTCGACGGCTTTTCGACGTTTTGTGATTCCATGTGCAGCAGCGAACAAACGAGAGAGTGTGAGTATGTGTGTGTGGTGAATGTGCGCCGCATATTTATGATTTCTTGGATACAATTTAAATATAGGCATGAGTATGATGATAAAAGCATGTTTTACGTTTACAAACAGCAGCGTGAGGCGTGTGCATTGTTTGCCGATTACCTGCTTGGTTGTGTGTGTGTATCTATGTATGCTTCCAAGAATCTCTAGAACCGCAAAATCTAGGCGCAATTTAAACGAATCGATTGCATTGTTGTTGACTTGGCTTGATCTGTGACAAAGAAAACCACACTCGTTGCCTCATCAAATGACTTTAATTAAACACACAATTGATTGATTGATAGGAAATGTTTATGGATGAAAATCATGGCCAAAGCATTCAATATGTATAACAAATTTTAATCAATATTCAACACACGGCTAACTGGGTGCTCATGCACACGCACACGCACACACAATCCAACCCATTTAAATTGATGTGAAAAATAGCAAACGCAAACAATGTCACATTCATAACAACAACAAAAACAAAAACAACAGCAGCAGCATAATCAGATACGCTCACAGAACATAACATTACCATTTCAATGTATGCAAATAAAAGAAGGAGAAAAAAAGTATTCTAGTCCAACTGCTTCTTGTATGTTGAAATGTTATTTTAAACATACATTATGCAATTTCTCCCGCACTCCAAGTCAAAACCTTTACGGATAGCATATCGTGTTATTAACATTGAAACTGGAATTTAAAACTGGAGAAAGAGAGAAAGAGAGAGGAAAAGTGATGCCGACAAGAAACAGCCAACACCATCTAGCATCACCAGTTGGCCAAAGTGTATGCAGCCAGTATAATTTGCAGACGATTCACTCTCTTCTCGTTTCGCCTATGCATGTGTATGTCACTTTTTTATGTGGCACATGCACCAAAATTTAATTCGAGTTTTCCAACTGCTGTAAGTGAGATAACATCTTGAGACAGCGCGCGTCTCATAGAAATTATGAAAAGTGAAAATATGAATAACCGACTTGTTAATTTTTGACGACAAGAAAGCGAAACGGCAAATAGAATATACACAGTACACGGCGAAAATTAAACCATAAATTTCATCGCTTCGTCGTTGGCATCGTCGTCGTCGTCATCGTTGTGCTGATGATAATTTCCATTGGTTCAAGTATAACCAGTTGAAATAGTTGAACCCCGTAGAAGAAATCCGTAAATTATCCACAACATTTTCAAGTAATCACACGCCATCCAAAAATCGCACCGCTGCCACCAGCGCTGATGCCATGCACAATGCATCGCACTGAAATCAGGCAACCGAAACAGTACAAACATACATCGACGAGAAAAACGGAATAAACATCGGCCAAATATAGGTACTTTGTAGCTCACAAATTTCGTTGTTTGATGTTTTTTTCTGCGATCATAATAATTATTATGATGACTTTATGTATGATTTTAACCAGTTTTCTCTCGTTCTCTTTCGTTTAGCTGCTGCTGCTGTAGCCGCTGCATGCAGTCACGTTGCTCACGCGCCATTTCTGTGCCAAATTACTAGGTTATTGCAGTGAAACCTGAAATTCTCGATAGTTGCTCTTGCTGCTTGAACGTCGCCGTTAACGCAACCGAGAATCGATTGTGCAAGCAATTCTGATAGATAGAGCAAAAAAAAAAGTAACTCAGCAACACACACACTGCGTATAAAGAGCAACATTTATAAAATGACACGAAAAACGACACCCAATCATTCCGATTCATGTGCACTTGCATGCATTTATTGAAATACCACGGAAATTTTATGGTTTTTTATTGAATTGACTATATAGACCATTCAGAAAATTACTCTATTTTTAAAAATAATTTAATTTCTTTGATCTAACGGTATTTGCATCGAAACGATTAGCAACTAAATTAAGTACTTTGTATTGAAAGACCGGATTAAATGCTAAATTTATCACTTCAATATAATCCGATGTGTTCATGAGTAGAAAAAATGCCATTATTCTCTCTATGGAAACGGGTTGAAATGTGTTTTTTTATCGTTGTCATTTAAAAATCAATCAAAAATGAAATTCTTATGCGGTGACTTGGAGTGAGGCCATTTGATTGGTGATTTCGTCCAAACCAAATTCGACGCTGGATCTGTTCTTTTTCATTATGTTACCGCAGAATGTTTTGGCCAGCTGAAAAAACGAAGGCGATTGCTTCACGTTCTTGTTGCTGGCATCGATGGATCGTTTCGGTGGTGGCTGGTTAAATTCCGATGGTTTGATGTAATTGCCATTTTCAGCGTAAACCAATTCAGGGATTTGACAGTTCCATACATGCAAGTTTGCCGTCGGTATCTGTTGATTGGCTGCTGGCCATTGATTCATTTGCTCGAAACTGGTGAGATTCGCAAAGAACGGCGGCGGATCCGCGCCGGGATTGGAAAATGCGCTGCTTGTGCCGGCATTGATCATCTCACCCGATACTTCCATTTCACAATCATCCACTGGCACTAGTTTTGCAGCTGGAACGAAATGAAATTGATAGTCGCCGTGAATTAGTTTTTTTTTCGTCAATTTTTTCTCGAGAAAAAAAAGTAATGAAATTTGATTTTCATGAGTGTTGATGCACTGTATTAAACTTACAAATCGGTTCGACTTCAATCATCTCAACATCGATGATCGGCGGGTCGGGCAATGGTTGTTTTTCGCTCTTCTTCTCGGATTTCTTCTTTCCCAATTTCCGTAGCTTGTTTTTGATGCGTTGAACACGAGTCAAACTTTTCTGTGCTTCGACGGCGCGATGATAATGGATCGTGTTGTACATCAACACGTCGCAGCACATCAGGCAGACCTTTGTTGAAAATTCATCGACAGCGTTGATCTTTGATTGGACGGAAATAATGGCAAATGATCAAAATGCAATTAGATTTCGAATGGAAAGTCAATCGATTTGCAAACGAAAGTGCCGGTCTGAACTTACATCGATGTTGTAAACCGTTTTGATGGAGTCTTTTAACTCGGAATTGTCGGCAAGTGCACAATCAATGTACGATCCATCAACGAGCGGCATCAAACAAAGCCGGCAGAAAACACTCAAGTCCCCAATCTTCATGGTCACCAATTTTCGTCCAAATGCACAGAGAATGTCAAACGATCTATCCAACTTGTTCTGGAAGAATGATTCTAATTTCGATTTGTCACTTGAATTTCACAATTTAGCCGGCATCTTGTTTCGCTCCGTTCGGATTGTCTTTCTCGAACAATGACTGACAAATGTGACGATTGTGCTGTGAAAAAATCATGTCAAGAGGTATTTTCGAGCAGAAAAATGACGTTCTTCCGTTTTTTCGACCAACAAATACAAAATAAAACTTTATTAACAGGATCTTTCGTTATTAAACTACAACATAAAAGTTTCTAACAATGGTGTCCATTCAATGGTCAAGTTTGTTTTGATAAAAATTTCAACAAGCTGAGACTTGTCATTTGCATGCAGCTCTGCTCCAGTGGTTTATGTGTGCGCGTTGTTTGGCTGAGAGTGTTGTTTGTGTGTTTGTGTTGTATTTGACGAATTTATGTGATGACAGTTGGTGCGTCTCTACCGGTGAATTTGGGCAACTGCGATATTTGCAATGCAATTTGAATAAGCGGCTCGAGTGTTTCACTGGCCGATCCCAACACATTCTCTTTTTCATAAGAATCGATATACAATCTGGAATGAATGCAAATTTTATGATTAGCTCAAGTTTATTGCATTTTACGATAAGATTTTTGCTCTTGAGATAAGAGTTTTATTTCACTTCTGGTAAAATTGCCCGTGTTTCATCAACATACCTAACTGTTGCACCAGAGCTGCCTGTTCCACTAAGTCGCACAACAATACGACTACCATCTGCGAAGACAATTCTTAAGCCCTGAAAAAAACGAACAAAAAATTAAATGAGTAATGCACTTTTTTTTTTCATAAGAATCAAGAAAATTTTCCTCTTCTCTGCAAAAAATCTTACTTGTTTGGTGGAAACGGATTTGTCAACTGGATCGGTGTAGCTGAAGTTGTCGGCGATTTTAGTTTTGTAAGTTTTGCCGCCCGATGAATATTCCTTGCCAATGAATGCTGGATCGGTGATGGTCTTCTCCAGAGTGGTCATCATTTCGTTACATGGTTCAAGAGCGCATTCTTCATAATCGTAACGGGTGAAGTAGTTTCGGCCATAAGTTGTCCAGTGTTGCTTCAAGATATCTTCAACACTTTTGCCGGTGTGTTCCATAACTGAGAGCCAAGCGAGGCATGCCCAGATACCATCCTTCTCACGGATGTGATCCGAACCAGTTCTGCAATTGAAAATCTATTTGAGAAAATGTTTCATTGCAAATGCAAGGAATAAGAATAACTATCTGAACAATTTGAACGGGGAGAAAATCTTTGGAAAAAAGAATCACATTCTTCAACTCAACAAAAACAATGCAACAATTTACCCGAAACTTTCTTCACCGCACAAGCACAAGCGTCCGGCATCCATCAAATTTCCGAAATATTTCCATCCGGTTGGAACTTCGAAGCATTCTTTGTTCTGTTTGGCAGCGACTAGATCAACAGCTGATGCAGTTGGCATACTTCTGGCGAAGCCAGTAATGCCGTTCTTTTTGAAGTATGGAATACATTCGAGGTAGTGAGCAATGACCTGAAATTCAAACGTAGATTAAAAATCAGAAATTCGAACTTGGAATTAATGTTGAAAGGAATGCGCTTCATAATAATTCAATTGGTTACTTACGGCCAATGAATCGCTTGGAGTAACAAAGAAGGCTTTGCGGCCAATGATCATATTACGGTCACCATCGCCATCAAAAGCAGCGCCCAAATCATAGTCACCACTCTTAACTGTATCGACGAGATCTTTGGCGTATGTGAGATTCGGATCTGGATGCAATCCACCGAAGTCTTCCAATGGCGTTGTGTGCACAACACTGTTTGGAGTGGCTCCAAGGGCATTCAGAAAGATTTCGTTGACATAAGGACCAGTAACTGTTTTTTTAAAGAAGAAAACCAATGCTTATTCAATTCTTGGCAGAAAATTTAATTAAGCCAAACAAAAAAACATGACTTTTCCATACCTCCATTCAATGAATCGATGCGAAGTTTCAATGGTGTGCCAGTTTTCTTGCCGCTGACAAAGGCATTCAAGCGTTCAAAATCGAAGATTTCTTTCATGAGACGCACGTAATCGGCCACCGAATCAATAACTTCAACTGTGAATGGCGCTCCATTAACGGTGTATTGATTAACGCCAACTTTACCCAGATCGATATTCAAACCGTCGACAATTTTGTACTGTGCGATTTCCGTTGATAGTTTATAGATTTTATTTGTTACATGATCCGGTGCTGGTCCACCATTTTCGCAATTGAATTTAATACCGAAATCGTTATCTGGACCACCTGGATTGTGTGAAGCCGTCAACAAAATACCGCCATAGGCTTTATTGCGGCGAATCAGACTTGACACAGCTGGTGTTGAGAGGATGGCATCTTTTCCGACAAACAATTTCGAAACACCGTTTGCCGCACAGATGCGCACAATAATTTCGGCTGCCTTTTTACAAAAGTAACGACCATCACCACCCGCAACCAATGTTGAGCCAGCAACAGCACCGTCACTCGAATCGAGGATACATTGAATGAAATTTTCTGTATAATTTTCACCTTGGAAGACTTTCACCTGTGCAAACACAAAAAACAAATTGTTTACATATTCTTTACACGATTTACAATTGACGTTGACAAAATGAACAAACCTTTTTTCTTAAGCCGCTAGTGCCTGGCTTTTGACCTTCATACGGCTTAGTTGGCACAGTTTTCACAACCAAACTCATTTTTGTCAAGTATTTTTGAATGAATTTCAACAAAATAATTGGCGTTTTCGTTTGGAAAACTATGAGATATTCTAATTAGATTACAAGACAAAAGCTAATCTAGCGAAAACGGCGCCTTTTTATGTAACTAACTAAAATAACGAGTGTTTCTCTCGTTCGATTTGAACCTTCGAACACGACTGACACGGTTGTGTTGATATGATAACTTTGAAAGACAAATTAAGGTCATTTCAAGTAAATACACAGCTGTAGCAGACAAAAAAAATAACATCATAACATAACCTATTCTCTGAGCCGATAACAGGCCGCGTAGTTTTGTTTCCGTATTACGGCATTTTATTTCTTGACGTTGAATAACACCATGATTATTCGTGGTGTTTTAATCATTTAGATCGTTTGTGCATACCGACGACAACTGATTATCTTCATTGAACAAACGAAAAAAAAATCTCAATTCACTCAGTTCTTATTGGTTTATTTTGATTGTATTGCGAGCGACGTCGTTCAATCAGCTGTCACAAACACAGTACTAGATTAGAATAGTCGGTCTTACAGAATGCAAGCAGTAGGACACTCTTGTGCAAAGCCCGAAATTATCCAAATTTGATAACATTTTGCTTGAGATTGAGTGAAAATTATCGCCGGCAAAGATTTTACATATTTTTCAACATTTTTGCATTTTCTCATTGAAAAAAATTGATTTATTCTCTTTAAAAATCTAATTCTTCTCATTGCAAATGTCGCATCGCAGTTTTCACAGAATATTTTTTTAAATAATATTTCAAGCAATCGATGTTCAATGCCATCTATGTGTGTGATGTTGAAACAACGAGCTTTTACAACGCAGTTTCTTGCTGTGTAGGCGATAGCATTCAAATTGAAAACTTTATTTTTAAAAACTTATTCAAATTGACCAGTTAACGGCTTCCTTCCATTTGCTGAGCTGAGACTTTTTGTATTTTAACGTTTTTTAGGCTGTTCTTGGAATTGCTTGCAAAACGGGAGTTTTCCATTGAAATTCCCAATACCATGAGAGAAATGCTAATTAAATTCGTTTTCATTCAACTCTGATTCATACACTATTCAATCATTTCGACGTGATACATTGTGCCCAATGCGGTTGAAAGATGCGTCATAAACTTCATCTCAATTGAAGCGTTTACATCGAAATTTGGATGAGAGGCGACTGGTCACCGCAATTCATCAAAATGCTCAGTACAAAATATGTATGCTATGACGAAATCACAATTCCCTTTTCTATTGTCGCACCATAATTCATTCTTCTCTTTTTCTCGCATGACTCATACTAACATAGCATAGTAAGAGTCGGATTTTTGTTGTTTGCCATTTTTTTTGTTCGATGTCAACAAAATTGTTGTTAAACAAAATATACAGCAGGTGGTTTTTGGCACGATTTTCCCAAGAATTTTATGCCATTTGCATTTCAAGAATCTCAAATTAAAATGAAGAAAAAAAACACACAAATACACAACTGTTGATTCTAATAAAATGGCCCTCAATGTTTGACCGTTATTTCGCAATTGATGCAATTTTTACGGAATCGTCTGACTAATACAAAGTAATGGCCTGGACAATTTAAAGAAATTTTCTGTTTACTGCATTTCTCTATTTGCGTTTTATTTTTCAATGGCATCGTTTATCGCGTGGTTACATCATTTTCCCGTCATAAAAATCGGAATCTTTACTCATCGATTTTTTGATTCATTCCATACGATTCTTGGAAGAATGGATGAATTGCGCTCGAAATGTGTTTTTTTATGTGGCTATGAATGGTTGAACAATAAAAATGTAGGAAATGCCAGTCAGTTGAATGAAAGCCGAAAAAAAGAATATGTGACGACTTTAAAGATGCATTCGCTTAACGATGGACGAGAGAACTTTCTTTGAGATCAAATTTAATCACATTAATAAAAGAGAACATATTTTTCAGTTTATATGCCATTGTCATAAATAGAAGAAAACAATACAGGAGCTGCAAATAAGGAAGACAAACTTTGGTCATAGCAATTGCATCACATAACTGTAATGCGAAAGTAATGTTATGACATTGCTGACGCACTTTCCATCGGGCGACTGAAAGCAAAGGGCAAAATACATAAAAAAATAAAAAGTTTTACGAGCGTAAAACGGACTTTTCCGCACAAGTATTCAAATTTTTTTTTAAAAAAGTCAATCATGGTCGGCCATCGTGTTATAAATCATTTAACACGGATTAACATGATAAAACCGTGTTAAAACAAATCAAAAATCCGTTCTATGATAACAAGAAAAAAAAAAAATTCAAAAAAATCCAAGGGTCCTTGGGTGAAATTCTATGACATCCGAAAATTACCAGATGAACTGGTCCAATTTGGCCCAACTTTTGATACATCCAAGGTTTTTACTAATAGTGACTCCTGGCCAAATTTGAGCGAAATCGCTTGAGCGGTTCGAAAGTTATCGTGGACACAACAAAAATTAGCACACTTTTTATCACGTCGGTCGCTATACTTTTCTCACACACTTCGTGTGCGGAAAAGTAAAAATATATACTCAATCAGAGAATGATTCCGTTCAGTCAATATAATACATGTTTCGTACGGAGTCAATAGAGTAATAAAAGTTGGAACAATGGCCGTTTGTTGATTTTCTAAACGGTGAGAGTTATTTTATTTAATGTTTTGGCACCATATTTTTTGCTTGTTTTTTGTTTATGCCAAATGGGCAAAATGCACCCCAAATACAATACGGTATATACACATAGACACGGACGAACCGTTGCCAATAATAATTTTACAATCGAATTCATTCAAAACGCCCGAATGGTGTTCCCGTGCACCCAGTCCAGCCGAACTCAAATTGTCGGTTGTATGACTCATGCCTCGAATCGGATCGGAATTGATGCGTATCCCGAATTATGCGTGCAGTAGAAAACGAGAACACATGCATTTTATATGGTTCATCGAATAAAGTCGGAGCCGAATGTTTTGTGCTGTTGATGTTTTTTTCGGGTGCCTGTGTGAGCGCGAGCGAGCGAGCGAGCGAGTGGGTGAGCGAACAACAAATGCTCGTGTGACTGCATATTGCTGGAGAGTGTATGAGAGGGAGGTCTTTTGTTTGGTTGCACATTCAGCTTAGCATTAACATCAACACAAGATGCACATATGCGACAGATTGAAATTACTTTTTCTACACGTACTCGTCCATATGCACCAATAATAAGGCATATCCGTTTATGTTCTCTCACTCTCCGTAGAGTGCTTTGAATCGTAAACATAAACAACAACTCTCATTCACACTTTTCGTATGTTGCATTATTTTCGCTTCGCTTTTTCCATTTGAAATATTACATTTGACTCTTGAGCGTCACTTTTTTCACTTAGTCAGATGCATTATTATTTGGAGATTCCGAAGAAAATTTATGGGCGGTGGAAGGAGTGCGTTCGTCAGCATCAGAGATTTACTCTTTCTTCTATTCAATTCGAGAAAAGGAACAACAACAAAAAACTGAATGAACGATGACTTTTTTGCGTTAAGGGTGAAACAAAAGCAATTTCAATTTGATGTGCATGTCGTTGGCTGTCATTTGTGTTGCCGTCCCTGTGTTTTCATTTAAAAAAAAAAGAAAGTATAACGTAAAACCGTTTTTTCCTGTTCGTTGTGATTTCCCATGTTTGCCGCACGCTCGCACAGTGCAAATGCGATGCGTTCATGCTGCTCGATTTTCGTTGCTTACAATTTAAGGGTTGCTGCAATTTATTGCGTCACATTGTGTACATTGAGAATCAACAAGCTTATTAAAATATATTTTATGGGAATGTGTGTGTGTGTGTGTGTGCACGCGCGTATGCTTTGTGTATGAGAAACAGGATACGGGATATGATCTCATCATAACGCACCAACTATTTCGTGCACCCAAAAATGATTCATCCCGAAATTTACATTAGCATTTAAAAGTTCTTTTGTGTATGGCATACATCTACAACTCACACTCGCATTTCAGTCTGATTCACGCACACACAAATTAATACAAACAATTTGCAACGGATCCTTTACATTATCCAGATTGACTAATCCGTTGAAAAACACCGACATTCATGATCGCATCGACGGCTGTACTATTCGTTCTCGCTCTTCCTCACTCACTCGCTCTGTAAATGATTATTATTGCGCAGAAAACTTTGCTCACATAGTTCTTTATTCGACGAACTTTTTTTTTCATGTGCAACAAAATGAGAAGAAAAAAACACAAACATTCAACGTGAGCAAAATGCATTAATCACAAGTCTAGACTTATAAAACAAGTGATCGGCTAATCTTGCAAATGGCTAATCGATTTCTATTCCAACAACTTTCCCTTGCCGAATGACTGTCGCATTTCAATGCACAATATAATATCTATTATTTTTTTTTTGTTCCCTTAGTACAGATTATGAAAATTGAACATATTAATTTCTGACTCATTATTGTAATTAGGTTCGACGGCCTTCATTGATATATATTGCAAATCAAAGTTGAAATATGCATTGTTTTATGCGGCAATTGTGAGTGGAGGGAAAGAGAGACTACCCGTCTAACTCATTTGCAAAGTTGAAAATGATTGAAGGTGAAGAAAAAAAAAATGCATATTATTTTCAGTGTATAGAACATTCCGTTTGTGATTGACAATCGATTGTTCCATTGTGTGGACTGCGCAGAAGGAAAAAAAGCATTCCATGCTTGATGACTCATTTACTGATCAGAATATAATATTTGTTCTGTTATACATTTCAGACAGTAAATCCATGTGTACAAACGCAAAACAGCAATTTCTCCGATAACTCATTTGTTCGTGAAGCTGAATGATAAACCTAAAAATGACACTTTTTAAACATTTGAACGTTTTTTTTTATTTTTTGCATTGTTATGGTTGTTATTATGGTCGACCAGTTTCCGGACGGAAATCCAATACGGAAGCATAGTTTTTTTTTCATCAAAATCATTCATGAAACTGAGAATTGTACTCGAGATCAGTCGGCGGATGTCTTGAAATTTATTTAACAGAAATATTTTGTTTCGGTGAAATGTGCTCTAATTTATGAGAAAATGTGAATGATTCTTTCGAAAAAAATATCGCGCAGCAGTTAAACAAACACGACGCATTTCGTTTGTAAATCGATATTTATGTAAATCAAACTACAGCTCTCTGAACACTCATTTTAAAAATAGACACATGCTAAGGAATCATTTGCGATTCAATCATTAAAAAAAAGTACACACTTTTCTTTATTGCTTTCGCTGTATTTGAAGTGGAAAGAAGAGATGAGAGGTGAAGAGAAGCAAAGCACAGCCAACTCCAAGTTCTGCCCATCATCATGTTTATTTATGACTCTCTTCCTCGTACAACTCGGCCAAATCAGTCGATGATGAATCGGTTTGACTCCTCGCCCGTTTATATTTAGCCAGAAATTGCTGCGTTCAGAGAGAGTGTGTAAAAAAGTAACCGGATATATTTAAAGATCGGTAACCGTTGCGTATCGCG